AAAGGCAATAATACACGTATCAAAGGGCGCCAGAAAAAAAAAAGACCCCGAAAAATCCAAGCCAAAAGTACACGGTCAGAGTCGCGGGTACAAGCGCCTCCTCCGCCAGCTCAAGCTTCGCACAGTGCGCTACTGGCGTGTGGCCTCGGGGCCCGCCAGCCGAGCTGTGGATAATATGCAATTGTATGAGGGAATTATTCTCGCTGCTGCCAGCGGACTCTGGGCTACCGCGTGCAATTATTGCATCACAGCGGGACAATGGACTTACCGCATCAAGTATCGCCTTTTACGTACATCAACCTTCGGGCCAAAAGTTCACGGACCTGGCCTTGCGCGCGGCTCCCGCTCAGCACACAGCGCTCGTTTCTTTTTATTTTGACTTTTCAACCTCCGTCAGCTTTTCTACACCTATGGCCTGTCATGAGCCTTTTTTTCCTGTATTTTTATCCGTCAAACTGCTGGCGTTCTAGTTCGCCGAAAGTGACGCATTGCTTGCGCTCGCATCTCAATCTCACTCCCCCCCTTTAGCACATGTGGCCATGCATGCGCCTCACTACAAGGGTCCAACCCCCTCTTTATGCAATGCGCATGCACGTCCCCCTCCTCGGCACTCGACCTTGATTCTGCCATTTTGCCATTTTGCGGGCCATGTGTGCTTCCAAGGTCTCGACGCCATCTTCCCACCACCGTTTCACCAAGTCCATCTCATCTCATCTCATCTCATCGTGTGTGTACTTGGCATACCACCTCGTATATTGCCTCCCAGTCGCTTTGATTTAATTTATTCGCCCTCAAATCTCATTCATCAACAAGTTTGCTCAATATAAATACCGCATGTTCCACACTATACTCCCATTTCTTCTGTTTTCACTTATACCACTGCCTCCTCCTGGTGGTAAATATCCTCCCGTCTCCCTTTTTTTTTTTTTTTTTTTTTTTTTTTTNCAAAATTCTCTTTCTCACCTTCCAACGGGGGTACATGCCCTAATGCAGACAAATGAATCATGATTCGTAGTGTCCATATATGTATAAAGAGAAATCATCTCAAGCATACATACATACAGACCTCATCCAGCCATACTCCTGATTGCTTTTAATTCGGTGTAAAACAGCACACATGTTTTTATAGCTTACGAGCAAAACCCCCGTATAATGGACCTACCCAAAGGTATCTTTATTTCTGCTTCGAGTCATTGCAAAAGCTTGATTCATGCCCCAAGCCAAGCAGACATTTGCAAGCTTACCATGCGTTTGCTCCGCCTCACCTCACAATCCCAGCAGTGGTGCCACTCGCTCAATGCCTACATATTGAGTGGCAATAGCCTGGATTCGTGTAGCAGTAGTAATAGTTTCAATGTGTGATATGCACAGCAAACTCCGCAGATAATGCAAGGAGGCATTCATTCATTGGATGTGGGTAAAGCCGTCAAGATACGCCCTCAAAATCGTACGTTACAGCTGCAAGCATGCACATGGCGATCCACCTTGAAAGAAACCTCCCTCTGTAAATAAACAGCATCAGTAATAAAAAAAAGCCATATTAGTAGTAGTAGTATATGCACTCCATCGGCAGAGAAGCTCTCCATCTGATCCACACGCACACATACGCGCGTAAATCCCCAGATACGCAAAAAGTCTTGGCATCGTGACCCGTTGCCTGACCCTGCACGTGGCCAGCCCTTTGGTGTGTGGGGTCCCGCACTTGGCCGGCACGTTCCGGGCGTCTTTATTGGGCCGTTGTGCGAGCACAGGACAAGTCGAGAAAGACAAGGACTACTAGTAGCACTAAGTAAGTAAGGGGGAGAGGGAGGGAGTCAGGATAGCATGAGAAGGGAATGAATGAATGATAGTATTAGATAAGTATATATGTATATATTGACTATATAAAAGAGGGTATTTTTTTTCTTTTTGGTATATAGATTTTATAGCGTCCAATGATTTGCTAACCGTGCCGGCGTATAACGAGTGGTATCATCAACAAGACCGTTTGCAGCCACACCTCATATGCACGTGTAAGGTTCATGAGCCTAATTAAAAAAGAAAAATAAATAAATAAATAATGGAACCAGAGAACCTCGTCGCCTTCAACGCCGTAACTCATCGCAAAGTTTTATCTAAGCAAGAGCCTTAGGAGACTCACCATCGGCCGAGATCATGGTGACGACCTCAGAGCCGGGGCGAACGATGGGGTCATCGTGGTGGGTAACGGCATAGTCATCCTCACCGCTGAGCTCTTCAAGCGTCTTGCGAGCAGTCTCGGGGATGAAAATGGTGGTGAAGCAGCCGAGCAACATGAAGAGAGCATAGATCTCAAGGACGTGGTCCATCCAAGGAGCAGCGACCTGCTTGGTGGCTCCACGAGTGCGCAGAGTAGCGATGGCACCCTGGCCGATGATGGATCCGATCTTGCCGGAGGCAGCGGAGATACCGTGGGAGGTGGAACGGTAACGGGTGGGGAACACCTCACCGGGGACAACGAAGGTGGTCGTGTTGGGGCCTGTGTCGCGTGCTCGTTAGCTTTTTCTAGAGACGGAAAAAAAAAAATAGATTGACACAAAATTCACTTACCAAAGTTGAAGAAGAACTGGGCAATGACATAGATGGCAAGGAGGCCGTTGGAGCTCAGCTTGTTGTAGGCGAAACCCATAACGATGAAGAGAATGGTCAGGATAGCGAAGCCACCAAACTGAATGGTCCTACGGCCCAGAGTATCAATGGTAGCAACAGAAACCCAGTATCCAGGGACGGCACCAGCGAGGACAATGACGATGTTACCAACAGCAGTGTTGTACAAGTACTCGTAGACGTTGCTGACGTTCTTGGTAGAGTAGCCAATGACGTTCAGGATGGTACCGTTGTTCAAAGAGAGACCATAAAAGGCGACATCAAGGCAGAACCATGAACCAGCAGTGCCGAACAGGACGAGGAAGTTCTTGAGCTTGCCGTAGTGGGCGAGGAAGTCCTTGAAGCTGGCCTTGGGAACCTGGAGGCTCTCCTTGGCAGCCTTGTTGGTGGTGATACGGGCAATCTCGTCGGGGTGGCCCTCGCGCTTTCCAGTAACGTAGGCAACGACATCATCGCCAGCTTGCTCGACGTCACGAGCGATATCGAAAGTGTAACGAGGAGTCTCGGGGATGGTAAGACGGTCTGTGAGTCACGGTCAAGTTAGCGACCTCCCCCCACATGGAACTCTTGTCAATTGGTTCTTTTTTTTTTCCTTGTCACTTACAGTAGAGGGCAATGCAGGCAGGGACAGCGCCAAGACCGATCAGGGTACGCCACATCTTGTCGACAGCGAGCTGGCAAACACCAGTGCACTCAGCAGTCTTGGCGGCAGAGGACAGTGAACCCTTGAAGCCGAGAGTGACGAAGAGCATGACAAGAGCAGCAGTGAGCTGGCCGAGGCCCTGCATAGCAAAGACAGCGCTCATCATGGCACCACGCCACCTGGTAGTGGCGAACCTATATAACAGCAACTAGTGTAAGCAAAGCCCCCATCCACCAAAGCACTCCATCTAGAAGAGAGAGTAAAACACTTACTCAGAGGTAATAATGGATGAAAGGGGGTAGTCACCGCCAATACCAATACCCATAATAACACGCCAGAAGATGATGAGGCCGATGATATCGCAGGCGGGGGAGCCACTGGTCAGGGCCTGACCGATGGTAGCGAAGATGATGACAATAAGTTCGAGACCGTACATGCGCTTACGACCAACCAAATCAGCCATGATACCGAATCCAACCTGACCAATGACGGTACCGGCAGAAGTAGCGAGCTTGATGGCGCTGTCAGATGAGGTAGGCATGGAACCAACACCTGGGAAGTAGACGATGCCCAGCATGATGGTCAACATAGAGGCAGTGAAGATATCGTAAGAGTCCGTGAAGAAACCAACACCAGCGACCACGATGGCACGGACATGGTACCAGCCGAAAGGAGCCTTGTCGATCTCAGCAAGGGCCAGGCGGCGGCGCTCGTTCAGATCCTGGACGTGGAGAAAATCATTGTTATAGTTGTGGTAGGCACTGTTGCCTCCGGAAGTCTTTCCGAAGGCCATTGTGATTGTATTTTTATAAAATCAAATAAAACAAGAAGAAAGTAATAAAATGTAATGAAAGGCAACAACACAAGCCAAAGAAGCTTGGTATCACTCTTCTTCTAGGAGAAGAGGAAAAGACAAGGGCGGTCTTGAACACTTGTGGTTGAGAAACAAGGAGAGAAGGGGGAAAGAGAAGGCCAGCTAGATACAAGGGACAGGCTCAGGGGAAATATATAGGTACTACTACCACACTGCTTCACATCTCTGTCCCAAGGAGAATTAATTTTAATCTTTTTCAGGCAGCTTGATCCATCGTGGATCGATTCCTCGGGGCCTTTTCCCAGCCAAGACGACCGAGTCCAATATTGGTCTTGGTCTGCCTCTCGGAGCGGGCCAGACTGATAATGGAAGACGCGAATGCAGCCACAGACGGAGATGGAAGGGCAGAAGATCAGGCACTCTAACACCATTCTAGTAAATCTATTGGTCGCAGATGCCTGTCAACGTGTAGATAATAAGCCCAGAGCGTGGTCGACCCGACATGGCTTCTATGCTGGTTTGCGTCGATGCATGTGGAGGATCGGCCAATGGGGGGCTCGCAAATCGGCACGTTGTCGAGATAACCCCATCTGTATGGGGGACGAACCTCTCCACAATTGTATATGCTTGAAATTTAGCTGCATCGCGCAAGGAGTCCCGAGAGTCAAGAGCCACCAAAGACTATGGCTATACGGCTCCGACTTGCGGCTTGGCAAGCTCTTTGCTGCCAAAAATACTGCCTCGTGAGGATGCCAATGCCTTATCTGCAGCTGCCGGTCGTCTGGTTTGGCGACCGAGACATGGTGAGGCTAAGGGTCTCAGGCGCGGATCCGGTCAATTGCCTAATAGGGACACCGAGTGTGGCGACTCCCGGCGCCGGATCCATGCTGGGCTCGCCTCGTCTTCAAAGCTCTCCACGCATAAGCATGCCTGCATTGTCCCACGTGCTTGCCCCAAGGCATCTCAATCTCTGCGATTTCTGGCGGCGATTCAGTAGAAGATCGTGTTATAATCCACTGTCCTAGAGGGCCATTCCACTCGATGAGCTGCTGATCAATTCCAAATTCGCACGTGTGCGCCACTTCAGCTTCGTTCAATAAGCCTGCATGCAGGACGGAATAGCTCCCACTTCTGCAGCTTACTTTTAAGGTTGATTTTTACTCTGAGCGGTTTTCTTCCTCTTTGCCTGTTTTTGATCGTGTGAGCGGAAAAGCAGGAAAACAAGGGTTTGGGATCTTCTGTATGTGCCATCTCAGCCTCGCACTTAATCGGCCTCAACCCTAGTACAAGCCCAGCCCGGGATCTATTTTTTTTTTCCCCTCAGCTCAGCCATCACCATCAAATCTTACCATGTCTCTCACAACACACACACAAACCATGGCAGAGAAGCCAAAAAGCGACAGCAGTGACACCAAAGACGCGCTTGACGGCGTGCTGCCGCTCTCATATAGAGTGGTCACGCGAGACCGCGAGAAACAAGACGCGCTGCACCTGGTGGCGGATAGCATTGCGCAGCAACGTCAAGCTGCCTCTGCCGCCATAATCTTCAACCCACTCTGCCTCGCAGGTTTATTAGCCACGTGCGCCGGCGTATATCGCCAATACCTGTATGCCGGCTACGGTACCGTGTTGACGATGCTTTGCGGCGTCGTCATCGTGTACCTGTCTTTCGTGCGATATTATACATCGAGGTACCTTGAGCTGGCGGAGAAATTTCGTTGGAAGGACTGGATCACCGGCCCCAATGGCAAGGAAGATGTTATCATTACTGCCGTCTTTGGCGACGAGATAATCGGTACCCTTGTTCTCAGACTGAAGGGAGATAAGTTGAACAAGAAGAAGGGTACTGCGCAGGCTGGCTCAGATGGCCAAGGCATCATCCGCGCCTGGACCACGAAGCTGCGATACCGAGGAAAGGGAGTTGGCTCAGATCTGCTGCACTTTGCAGTCCAGACCACATACCGCGAGTTTGGCTCGAGCGCCAGCGTAGAGTTTGCTGCAGATCATGCAAACAGCGTCAATCCTCTTCCTGATATGTTTCTCCGACCATTCAAGAAGCGCCAAGAAAAAGCAGGCAAGGCGCTGAAGCAAGCTTTGAAGGATCAAGGGAACCCGAAATAATCCCTAGCACTTGGATATAGATACACACTCATTCTGTAATATAAAATATATAATAATAATGGCAATGAACATTACGCATCATCTGGGTTCACGAAAATAAACTTGACTTTTGGTTACTCATTGGCAGTAGCGATATGTCACACACACGTGATGCATGCGCAGCTTCGTATAGTCTCGATCGATCACGGGAATTACAACTTGGCGTTGATGATGAGTTAAATCCGTACGATACTACTGCGACCGATTGATCCAGCAGTAGGGCAATTGAGCATGCGACACCTTGGCTGCAGACGAGTTTCAAAAGGAATATGCCAGCCAAGGAACTTGGCGATGCCACCATCATACTTGGCGATGAGGAATGCATTGCGCAGGTGTTGATGGTGGTAACATGATTTATCCACCGGTCTCTTGTTCCATTGCCAACAGCTCCGTTATCCGAGTTCTAGATGGCCGTCTAGATGGCGCATTCGAGTCATCGACAAAGGGACTTTCGTAAAACACCTGGTGTTGGCCATTGAACATTTGAAGATGGTGGCGAGAGCGAATTGGTGCAGCCAAATGCAGCCAGAGCTTTGGCACGTGGCATCGCAACAGAAACCAATATTCGAAACGGAACCGAAACCGCCCGACAAAGGGCTGCGGGCGCCGCGAGGACTTTTGGCGCGTATCCATCTGACAGTGGCAGCTCACGCACGTGGGCGACGAAATAATGTCTCATCGGGTCGTACCCACTCCAACTCTTGCTTGGCTGCAGAACTATTGACGGTGACCCAACAGCATGGGCCGACTATTATTATTTTTTTCCAACCCGTCCACCTTCGTGTTGAAAATAGAAATTCTTCCATCAAAATTTTACCCTCGGAATCGTTAAAAAAAAAATCCGAATGAAGGCGATTGCTGAAATATTAGAAGCGGGTTGCACACTGTCCTGCTGGCCATCAAAGATCCGGCGTAGTGTCCCTCTCTGCTCATAATGCCCACACGGCAATACTATTAGCCATGCTGTAACACGCAAGAATCATACTGTCTCACATGGCGGAGAGCGAGGTTTCACCATCCTTTTCACACAACCAACAACGAAGTGATATGGAGATGATATATGAGAAAGATGCAGCGACAAGCCGCAGAATCGAGTGCTGCGCCTGCACCAGCATCAAGAAAGGAAGGTCGGTTCCATTGCAGTTTCATTTCTCACGGCAGTGCCTCGTATTTGGGCAACGCATCGCACTTGGTGCAAGTCGTGTTGCGCAAGTGAGTTCGCGCAGACGATAGCGTTGCGTCGCTAGAATCCTGGTAAAAGATCCACGGTGGGCTGCTCGCCTCCTCTCAGTAGGTAGTCATACGAAGCACCCGCATACAGTACATAAGAGGACAGATCCCCCCTCTCCTAACAAGCCCTGTCACTTGTTCTCAGGATGGACTGCTTGGTTCTGGGGCGCCAGGGAGAAACTTTTTAAAAATTTGCCAGCCGGGCTCCATAGAGAGTAGTCTGGTCACATTGTCTAGCGCTTCGGAATCGGTTGTCTAAAATTGACAGAATCTGCTGTTATAGTAATGCCGCGAATTGCCATTCTTAATGCCTTGTTAGTGGCATGGTGGTTTGCAACTATGTCGATTGAAGGATATGTGGCTTTCGCAGTCGTGGCGCGAGAACAGGCAGTTCTCCCACTAGAGTACTGGTGTCCGCGCTCGCATATTCCACTAAGACATGACTTATGGCGTAGACTGTTCTTATGTTTCTAGTGAGCCAGTAGAACCATATTGTAGCCACTTTTCTACCGGCGCAATTTTTATGGCCGCGTGGACCTTAGCTTTGTGCTAAAGGATGAAATGAGGTGCTGTGTCTTTATTAGCCTCCCTTCCGCAAGTCACCTTGAATAGGACTGCTGAACGAGCCCGAGCTGAGCAGGTTACGAGGGTCCAACATCTTGGTACTCTGCAACCTACTCTATGCCAGCAGCAACCCACAGCATAGCAGTCATCCGCAGCTACAGCGCTTGGCCATCAAAAGTAAAAGAAACCCATAGAAAGAAAGCATTGCGCATTGTCTCAGTCGCAACACATTGATCCAGCCTTATCGAACACGCCGTTGCTATGCCAAGCATCGCTCGGGCCATCTATTTCGTCGTCTTGCTGCATTTGTCGCTCCTCTCGATGGATGGTGCCTGTGATAGGCGGAGCTCGCGACACTACCGGAGTCGTCAACGCAATTAGCCGCCGCTAAATTGTCGCTGCCGAACAATGCTGTCCGCTTTTAGTGGTTTAGGGCTGGGAGCTGTAGTACCCTTAGCAGACATGTGGAGTGGCAGAGGGTTCCTTTTATAGAGAGCTCTGCTCAACGCTGTAGCTCCCAGACAGTTGTATGCTGGGGATTTTCTGCCGGTGCTTCGTCTATGCTTGCGTCTGTACATCCATGATGCGTGAATATCTCTCAGCCTCGGTGCTGGGCGAGGACTCGGGGACGCATAAAGGTGGGAGGCGGCGAGAGGCACCTTGGCCGAGTCGTTGGTACAGCAGATGGGGAAAGGCGAGTGAGGTCATGGCCATCAAACGACAAGTTGTAGGGGCGTGTGCGTCTGCTTGCGCGCGGTGCATGTTCCTAGATGCCAAGGCTCGCTCTGTGATAAGCTCATGGCAAAATATGGGGTGCGGCCCAGGAAATTCGCGATGAGGGGCGGCCGTGGCAACGATCCGGTTAGACGGGCGGATCCAGGGCATGCAGCAACGCAATGATGGCGTGCGACGATGCTTCAAGGCGGAGATATATGCAGCAATGGGGGCGTAATATGCTTGTACGCGCACTCTGGCGTGCAGCCCGTGCATGATGGAGCGGCCAGTGCGGGCTGTCTTGCGTCGGCACTGTGCGTCCGAGCTCGCCAAAGTACCGAGTACCCGCTAAGGGTCCTCTGACGGACATGGCTTAGGGCTACAGGGAGCAGCAAGCATCGACCAGCCGCTCCCCAGACTTGTGCGGTTTGACGATTCCCTCTGTGCTCTCTCTACCTTTTGCTGTGGCTCACTTGTGTTTGAATGTTTTGTGCTATCCATGCAGTATTAGCTGGCGATGCTACTGCAACACGGAGGCTAGCACGTGCAGTTTATTCTCCGACCCTGGAGCGGTGAGACTTGGGCCCGTGTGTAAGTAAATACGGCAGCATACGTCCAGTAGTACATGATAGCATCAAGAGCAGGTATATGTGTAGGCATCAATGGAGTAGATGCAATGGAGCATACTCCATGCATACGTGTATAACTCAGCAACTGCTACTAACTTAGTCTTGCTGGAGCTTTGCTGTACTTACTAACCGCCAGAAAAAAAAAAGAAAAAGAAAAAAAAAGGCCAAGAAGCATATGGCATATACGAGGACACTGCCAGGCTCCATTACGGCCACTGCAAACGAGTTCTCGACTGGCGCGGCAAACTCCGCATCTGCCGCTGTCTCTGTCCTCCTGCACAGCGATCGACTCTGGGCTGGGAATTGGACTGGTCTAGACACGGTGAAAAGCTTCACCGCAAGACACAGCACAGCCATCCCCCGGCCCAAAGCCAAATGCCTCATACTATCGCTATATCGAGAGGGAGGCCTCCTCGCCCAGCAGACGTGACGTAGGATGACGATGCCGCCTGGTCGAATCGAGCTGGCCGTCTGCAGCCCCCGAGAGCCTCAAGCCGTTTTCGAGCCCTATTTGCCTGTTTGCCCGCCTTTTCTGTTCTGCGTTGCTTCAACTTACTGCTTCCGTCCTAAAGCGTGGCCGGGGGCGTGGCCGCTCGCCAATCACAGCCGGCGTATTTATGCATCTGGCAACTATTCACTCCTTTGCCGATCCCCATAGTCCCGGCTGCTCGCTCCGTATTAGTGCGGCCCTGCTAGCGAGCAGGTAGCGAGGAAAAAAATTCCCAGCCCAGCAGGCGCCAGGTGCCTCCAACGTATATCGCTCATAGCCATTGCTCTCGTGGGTTCGCCGGTGATACTTCACCTCTGTTATGGGAGACAACACCAGGGCTAACGTCGCGGCCGCCGGGGTGCCCATGCCCTCATCGCAAAACCGGGACAAAGGGACAGAAACAACATGGCAGGATTTTTCCTCACGCCGCCGCTTTCACTGTTATTATGGATCAGTTGCTCCCTTCACTCCCCCAAAGTCTAGTCTTGCCTGGGCCCAATGCCGCGGTATGCCACGACGTTGGAACAATTGATCCCTTGTTTCACTTTCTTGCTGCACGGCATGTGATGTTTTTTTACTTCCTAGAAGGGTATCACGTAGTGCTCTTACACACCAAAAGGCTTTTGCCAAAATCAAATGGCTCTCCCAACCAGCGTCGCTTTAGCAGTCGCCGATGCAGTCTCCTCACCCCCCTTTTTTTCTTGTGTAGTATAGCAGGGCAAGGTCAATATTCTTTACTTTTTCCATCTCAATTATTGCCCTAATTATTTTCTTTCTACGCGCGTTAGCCTAGGCGTATCAATTCTGTTTTCTTTACTACTGAAAAGAAAAAGCAAAGAAAAAATGAATCATGTTATCCCCTATTATTCAGGGCCGGAGTGCTCTGCTGCCCCCTTTTCACCATATTTCTTTACAGCTCAAAATTTCTCTTCCATCTCCTTCACTCGCATAGAGTTAGTCGTACAGAGTCAGCCTTTCACGTCGCCCGCATAAACTAAAAGCTTGAGGTGGTGAAGACATAGGTCGAATCTCTGCCACCCATCTGGGAATATGAGCTGGTAGATTGTGCCAAGTTTCCAACCTTTTCATGAGCCCCTCCCCGACAATCCAGCTTGAAGTTGCTCACGATGGCCATTCTGCCATGATAGGAAGGCGACAAATACAAGCTTAACTGCCCTACGCGTCATTCATAGGAAGCGAGCAAGAGAAGTCTGAACTGCAATTAAAGGGAGAGCTGCCTGTGTCGACAGCAATTCAGTTTGACGTTATCCCTCTCTTTGCTTTTGCTAATCTGGTAAATAGTCATTTGATGGTTGATCTATCCAAGATAGCACTCTCCTCCGACCTACAACGACCCCTCAAGTACCTATACTACTACTGGCTACTTTCCAACACACGAAGCGATGTTACAATTGAAGATTTTCATACACGTTCATTACAACCTTCATCAAGCTTCTGTTGTATTCCTTGATCTACACATTCCCCTTTTCTAAGAGTTGGCACGTGCCCTTCATCCAGGTGACCAACAATAGAACAGAGGCATTTCAACCGCAATATCCTTGTGAAATATGCCTGAACATTCCCTAGCTATTCAAGATCATCCCTTGTTGGCTTGATCAACGTCCATACGTCCATACGCCCTCCACTTGTGCCCTATTGCTGTTGGGAAGTCACTATCCGACATCGTATATTAGCTACGTACGAGGTCTCATAGTAACTTGGAAAAAGCAAGCCTGGTTACCCTCCAATTTGATCCCTTTGTTTTGTAACAAACGTATCAAATGGAGGATATCAGCCCATGTACTCTATCGAACGTGAACCGATACAATTGCCGACTAACGAATTGAAGGATATGCCAACTACCACAAATGCATTATCATTCTTTCTTCTTTCTTGTCTAAATAGGGGGAGAAGAGAGAGAAGAGAGGAAGAAAGAATTATGTATTGTTGCTTCTCGACCATGCACCTTATCAATAACCATTTCAACGACTCAAGAGAGGTGGCAATCTCTTCTAGATGCAGCAGATTTCTTTGATCTACGCATATAAAGTATTAATGCGAAAATTCGATTCTTAATTTGAATTATACTGCACACCATTAGTTCATTGCTTTGCGATATAATTGCAGTACCCCAAATAGGGACCCAAACATTTCAATACTTTCCCTCTATAACACCTACAAGGCATCTGCGTTGGGTTATACAAAAAGAACAAAGACATTATTATCAAAAGAGAGAAATGTTCCAAGGATTTGGTTTCTCCAAGAGAGAGAAGCACGCTAAGCACGCTACTCCGCTTTTCAGTACCTAAGCTTGGGCAACAGATAAAAAGTGTCAACTGATGTATGCAGCCGAAATCAGTAAATCTGAGCAACATTTTTGCCCTTCAGTTTGAAACTCTTATTCCCATGCCGCTACATGATGTTTTCCCCCTTCAATTTTCTCATGTCTGTAAAGTGCCAAGCCCTTCGTGCACGGCGATGATTCCGCATAAACAACACGATAAACAGCACCAAACACTATTCGCACTATCAACAGAAATTATCAAGCAAATTTTATCAGATGGACCCCTTTCATGACAAACGAGATGACGCAGAAGCTCATGTCACTGTCAAATTCGGGGACTCCAATGGCACCAGTGACACCGGCAGCAATAGGAATAAGAGGGTCGAAAGGGAAGACAGCCTAAGGCGTTGGGCCCATATCTCGAAAAGCTTCAAGTTCAATATATATTCTATCATTTTCCTTGTTAGTACTTGAGAGTGCAAAGTTGATTTAAATGATTTTGAAGAGCATGACTGTTAAGGGGTATTAGAAGGATAAGATCGCTTTGAGGAGCTAACTATGGATTGAAGATAAATTGCCTATCCCTTGTGAGGTGGTAAATTCATTGCCCCAGACTTTACCAGTCCAATAAAGAAAGACTCATGAGCATCACTTCATCCGTTACAGTAGAAGAGGATGCGCTAACTGGAACACGCAAACCTCATGCGCATACATAGCAAGTACTGTAATTGATACTAAAGCAAGAATAATATAGTCGCTAGCAAAGGCCATATATAGACATGTAAACATCAAATCTGCAGGTTTCGCATAAGCAGATGTATAGGTCATTCAAGTATTCCAAAGCTCAATGACAAAACAGGTATCATATCCATCATGACGAGGCACCGCCTGCCTTGGCCTGCACGACTAACAGGTCCGTCGTCACGCCGCTAGCAACAAAATGAGCAGCAAGTTTACCCAAGCAGCCCTGGACATCATCTCTGGGCCTGTCTGGGAGCTTGCCTTCCTCCAATGTGACTCCTCCACTGCGACCCAAAACAACCAATGTCGGCTTGTTGACTTCTGACTCACTGGCATTGGGGGCGGGATCGGCGAAGTTAAGCAGATCTTGAACGGTAGGTGCTATAGAGTGTTTCTCGACCATGATCCGTGAAGATATATCTTGGGAGAGTTTGCTAATGACTAAATCAATGATATTGTCATTTTCTGATGAAGACTTCTCGGTAACCTCAGCGACGTTGACGATGGTTGCGGTTACATGTTCGCGCTCCAAGAGCTGGATAACGAGATTAAGAGCAAGATTGTCATCGCGCCCCCCAGTATAGACAAAGAAGATCTTGTGAATACGAGAAACTAGGGGTGCAGTGGGAAAGTCGCGTCTCGATACGTCATAAGAGTACTGTCGGCGGAGCTTGGCTTGCTGACTTCCCTGGTTCTTGCTCTTTACGTCATCTTGACTCCTCGTGAAGAGTACGCCAATGTTAAGTTCAGGAGCGCGAAGGACAGATTTAACAAACAACATATAACTAGACGCAAGCCGGTCTTCGACATTGGCTGAAGAAACAATCTGAGCATCACCCATGCTACCAGTCTCAGTCCAAGGTAGGAGAAGGAGATCCGATGTCATGTTGGACGAGCGCGAGACGAGAGTATCAGCAAAACGATCTTCTGGCATAATGGCAACTTCACCAGATGCTGAAATGTTATGAAGCTGACCGACGCTGCGGAAAATATTGACGACAGGGTCGTGCTTGGTGTATTCATCGACTTGGGCCACCGTCATGACAGATGAATCACGATCTGTTAATTCGAGGAGTCTCAGACCATGAGCTCGGACAGGTACTTTGGCATCATCATCGTAATTTCCCTTGTCTTTGGAGTCTCCAGAGCCGCTTGACGCCTCCGAGGCACGAGAGCGTCCGAATAACGACAGAAGGTTGAGTAGCGCGGGCATGTTGTCCAATCTAAGGTAAACCAGCAGCCGCCTAACTCTCCTATTCTCTGACTCAGCCGTAGGGGTCACCGTTATTTGAGTAATTGGAGAACCAGTTTCCCAATCAATCTCGCCACGCTTCCAGGCAGCAATCTTTTTCTGATACCAAGGAGGATACAGGTAAGAGACGGCAGGAGTCGTAAAGAAGGTGGTGAGGAGAGCCATGACAACAAAGATGGTGAAAGTCCTAACGCTGAGAATTTGAGCTTGAAGACCAATATTCTAAAATGCATAGATGTCAGTCATTTTACTTGAGAGAAGGGGAATAAAACATTTCTTCCACTTTAACTTACCAAAGCAATGAGTTCCACGAGACCTTTGCAACTCATCAAGACACCAATAGCGAAAGATTCTCTCCAAACCAAGCCATTAAGCCGAGCGGCTACAGATGCGCCAACGATTTTGGTGATGAGAGCGACAAAAGTAGTGGCAAATACGTAGCCCCATGTCGTTCCTGTGTTGAGAAGGCCGAGGTTTGTGCTGAGACCAGAGAGAGTAAAGTAAAGAGGCAGGAAAATAGAACCAATGAGATCTTCGAGTTTCTCAATGACGATGATGTTGAAGCCGTGCTCACGTGGAATGATCAATCCAGCGGCAAATCCTCCAAAGATGGGATGAATTCCGATAATTCCAGTGAAGAAGGCGGAGGCAAGAGCAATGAGAAGAATAAGAGCGATAGCGCTTTGTGAAGGGCCATTCTCAAGGTTGTTCGTCTTCCGCAAGGTGAACCGAAGGACAGGTTTAACAGCAACTACGAGGAAAATAATGTAACCGATGGCAACAAGTAGAATCCACAGCGCTGTAATACCCTTGCCAGCATTGACTAAGGCAACACAGAGCGCCAACAAGATCCATCCTAGGAATCGTATAAGTAAAAGATCGTGAAGACAAGATTTCCAGCAGTACTCACCAACGACATCGTTTGCAACACCTGCCGATAGAGTAATAATACCGACCGGCGTATCAAGCAGCTTGAGCTCTGTCAAGATACGGCAAAGGACGGGGAACGCCTAGGGGAGGTTAGGGCACGAGCGGTCATTCAATTGGACGCATCAATTTCATCGGGCAGACTAACAGTGATGGCAACTGCGATACCAACGAACAGCATGTACACGCTGAAGCTGATTGGCTTGACCCCAGGATCATCGCGAAAGGCGTTGTATATACCCCAGGCGAGGGCGCAGCCAACGCCAAATGGCAGTGCGAGTCCAGCAAAGGCAACAGAGGTTGCAACACGCCAATTGCTCAGAAGGAATCGAACATCGGTCTCAAGTCCAATCATGAATAAGTAAAGGACAAGACCGAGATTTGCGACAAGCGTCAGGTTGGGGATCGAAGCCGCAGGGAAGATGGCATCTTGAAACCCGGGAATGTGGCCCATAACAGAGGGGCCAAGGATGATGCCTCCAATAACTTCGGCAATGACTCGGGGTTGCCGAATCTTGGACAGAGGCCAATGCAAGATGTGGCAGAGGATGACGATGAGGGAGATCTAATTGCGCTGGCGTTAGCATCTCTTGCCGTCACAGAGCGGAGGGCTACGGCTTCGCTTGCGGCACCGACCTGGATGATGAAGATGGTGATGGGATTCTTGGGATCGTACACCGACGGGTTTCCGCCCTCCAAGATACCGCCCTGCGGCGCGACTCGGACGGTCGAAGTCGGCGCAGCCGAAGTTGTCGTCGAGGTCGCCATGATGAACGCGGCTGGCGGTAGAGTTGCAGCCGTGAAGGCGCAAACTGGAATGCGAAACGGGCCTCCCCTTGGATAAACAAACAACCTCAGAGCTCTCCGCACTCTAAGCTCGCAAGGACGCCAGCCAGATTAGATGAGAGGGGAGAGAGAAGATAGTTGGGAAGAAGAGAGTCTCTCGTGAGAGAAGAAAGGCGGATGAAGTTGCGTCGGCGACTTAGCTGTGACGATATATCGGCGTAGGCTGCGCTATGTACGCTGCCCACAAGGGTCCTTGGCGACCCTCTAGCTACCCAGTAGGCCGCTGGAAGGTCACTGATCAGTTGACAAGCGTCGCGCCAAGATCAAGTTCCAGGCAGTGTTGGCGGGGGCGGAATGTTGCTTAGCGCCACTCACCGCTAAACTTTATGCCATGTGAAGGACGGTACACGCAAAGATGCGCACTGCCCAGAGCAGAATATCTGGCATCAAACTACTACTATTGATTTGTGAACATACATATGGTAAGCAAATACTGCCATTCGGACAAGGGCCTTGCCACCATATTTTGGTTGTACCAGTCAAAAAAGAAATAGAAATAGGCTAGCATGGCGGCCTGCAAGTTGTAAGGGTGGTGGCCAGGTTTGTCTTGCTGACGATGGGTTTCGCAACAGGATGGCGATCACCAAGACCGACCACGGCAAGGACGGGAGTATGATTTGCGCATAAACCAGTTGACCCAGCGCAGTGGCAGTGCTTCTACTAACTGTAAGAATTCATGTTCGTTTTGTTCAGCTATCCTCGCGCTAATACAGTCGAGCCTCGGCGCTGGAACCAAATCAGATCCCTTCTCTGCATTTTAGTGAGACCTGGCGGGCCGTTGTCTCGCAAGCCTTAGATGCAACGCTATTCAGGGACATGTGGCAAATGTTCAGCTCAAACTGCAAGCCCAAGTTGGCTGTTGCTACTCTGGAAAACTGTGTCAGTCAATGCTGCGCTACGTTGGCGGCCAACACGAAACAGCCTGTTACTCGGACTGTCTGCGTCTGCTAGATGGGTGGACGGAGGGATGGATATTCCCCCCAGTCAACGTCTATTGTATGCATTCGAACTGCTATAGATACCTAGGTATATGACAAGTTTGTCCCAGCTGAGATGCTAAATTTGTGCCATCAAGCAGACATGCCTTGGCAAGAACATGACCAACGCTACACAGCAGTCTCAGCGCTCAACCCCGCATTATCGAGCTCGACTGATGCTTCAAGGTTCTCCAAGCCACACAACCACTGGCACTTCAGCTGCTCGCAAATGGCGTCTGGATTTCGCGTCTTACCTGCAGAGAAACTCTGGCTGCGGAAGTCATGCGTGGCAACAGGCATCTCGGCTGAAAAACGAAACCGAAGTAGATGCCTTTTGGCATTACGACATGACGCATCTCCATCATCCGCTGGCAACCTGCCCTCCGACCTTGCGCCTAACCGACTCAGACCACCCACTGTTAACGTCCGCGCCATTAGTATGGCGCAATTAAGGCTGTGGGCCACCTAGAGATCAGATCTCTGATATGCAGTCGACCAAATCTCACCTCAGGCCATCATGTGCCCCTCGCAAGCGGCCTATGTGAGCACTCCAACAAGCACGCGCGTGCAACTACCGACCCAACATGCGGCAGCACCCTCATGTAAACCACGACGCTCACCCCTCCTCATCGTCCCTCCACCGCCAGCTTAGCAATCAGAGCAGCAGCTGCCTTGTCCCCTCCATATCGTAGTCCCTTTTCTGAAAGCGCCTTGGCCTTCTCCCGCATGGCCACGCTGGTCTCGCCGCCCAGCACCTTGAGGAATGCCTCTGTGAGGGCTGCGGCCACCCACCCCGGTGATGTCTCCTTGGATGGCCAAATACCAACACCGAGGTATTCTGCTGTTTGTGCATATCGGTAGTGGTCTGCCCATTGCGGGAGGATGACGCTTGGGAGACCAGCTCTATGGACAAGCCGAGCCTCGATCAGCAAAACAACGTCTTTCAAATTGACCAACTTCGGAAGTCAGTGGGAAGAAATCTGGGCATTACTCACAGCAACGCTTCATAGAAGCAGTTGGCGCCTCCATGATGTACCGACGCCACAATATCGCCGGTATTATACAGGGAAGTGGGATCGACGTCGAGCCAGGATTCCAGTCGCAGCCTTCTGTTCATAATATACTTCTTGGCCGGCTCCAGGAACTCATCACCGAATTCTCCTCGCTTCTTCATCTTCCATAGGATCTGGACATTCTCAGCCTCCAAGACGGGAACAATTGCTTCCACCATAGCTCGGGCCATTGCTTCGTCGTATACCACTATACTACCCAAGTTGATGAGCATGGTGGGAGCCCTCTTCACCCAGCCCGCTAATTCTGCACTCTGCGTCTCAGCTGGTGCTGCATCAAGAACTAGAGGACCTGCCACATAAATGTTGTCTGGAATAAAGTCCAATGGGAACTCTGCTTCAGGAAAACTCATGGCAATCCATGGTACCATCGGGTTATCTATCTCGGTGAGAGTAATAGCATGTCTGATGCCTTTTTCCTGAAGCCAGGAACGCTTGCTCCTAATGGCAGACGATCCAAGGATTTGCATCAGGGAATAAGCTTGCTGGTATATATTTTTCGGGATATCTTTCCAAGGAATCGGAAACGGAATGCCCGTGGCCATGCTAGCCCAGCGTCAATACATCATTTTCGCCTGATCCCAAACAGATTTGATATCGGCATACTTACCCAGGATATTTCCAAAAATGTGCTCCAAGGGGCTGTCTCACGCTCAAGTCATCCAGCAGTGCATTCGGTGAAACGTAAACACGCCTTCGGTTCAGACTTCGCGCGGCATCAATGCCTGGTCGGAACCATGGGTCGAGGACGATGACGGAAGGGTCTACCTCTTCAATGATATCTACAATCCTCCGATACAGCTCTAAATGAGCTTCTTTGGACCATGCAGCCATAAAGAATGAGATGATATCTCCAAATGCATGCAGCCCAGGCAGCCCAGGAGGAGTCCTGATCCCGCTGGCGCCACCCTTATGGACTTCAGCCTCATCTGCGAGACTAGGAGCATCGAATTCATACCAATGCACCTTGGCATACGGGTTTTTTGCTCTTGCATTCGTTTCGATACGCTCAAGCTTTGTTGCCAAGCTGGGAAAGGAGGCATAGTGAATTTCCAGTGCCGGATGGCTCTCGACCAGCTCCGAGACTGCGGCAAGGTGAGCGTTGCACAATCCAGGGTGGCTATCAGTGAGGACGAGGACAGTATTATTGCGGCCACCGACCAATGTCTCATGTTCTTGGACAGGGCGCTGGGTAAGAAACGTCGCAATGAGTGAGCCGAGAATGGCGATCGCTGTCAGATCCCGCCGAGTCATCATGTATGTTTGACTGAGTATTAAATATACATTGGCAAGCCTGGCAGAGAGGATGAGGAGAAACGAACATTTGTTGCTGGTCCTTCAACGCCCGTTATGCTCTCCTTTTAAGATGATCCTGCCAGGCAGGTATGACATGGTTCTTGACTAGCTTATCACTGGCAGTGCTAAGTTTCATGCAAGTGGAGTCTATCAATTCCATCATTTGTTTGTTCGTCTCATTCAGTACCGGGGACTCCTCTCTTACGATGGATGACGCATATAATTTTCGGATAAAGAAGGCCGGATCCGGCTTCGACTCCAGATATGCGGGTTCACTACGTATTCTACACATATATCCGCTTCACGGAGGTTGGTTGCAATAGAAAGCAGAGGTCAAACATCCTGACCGGGGTCCCCCCCCCCCCNCTGGCTACACAGTATCACAGTTTCTTACCAAGAAAGCCTAGTTGTTCTCACAGCTCCCTCTTCAACTTCATCGACCTGCCTTGCCTGACGGGCTTGTTGTGTAATATCTGCTAAACAGGCGTGTTTTTCTTGAGAGTTGAGATAATAATTCTGGCAGGCGTCTTTCTTTATAGAGATTGCCTTATTCCAGGAGCAGCGCCCCTCAGATATGAGTGGAGATTTATTGAAGGAGGCATTGGAGCTTGTTTTGAGAGGCAGCTTGCCAATTCTCTTTTCAGCCCTTTCCATTATTGGGACCGCTTAAGGCTTTGAGAACAAGCAGTCCTGAATGTTGTCTTTTTGTGCCAATTCCGCTATTTTGCTTTTTTTCATTCTCTGTAAATCCAATCTGCGGCTGTTTTTCGGAATTTCCTTTGTTAAGGGATAAACAAGAGAGGTCATTTACAACCTCTGGCTCTTGTTAGGCCTAGCACTACACCAGGCTATCCTATATCCAGGGTTGTTTATATCGGTTGAGGTTAGTAATGTGATAATTGAGCGTAACTTTGCCTTTTTCTACTACTTTGCCCCCTCCCCCCCTTTTTTTAGCTAGCTGATATCGTCGATATGCCTTGGCGCTGATTTCTACTTAATTTTACAGCTTGTGCCGCCTTTGCTTTTGAGAGTTATAGCATAGCTCTGGAAGTAATATTAATATGTTATACTGAGGCGTTTTTTGGTCTTGGGAGCAAGTTATTGGCAGTTGAGCAAGCTTGATATACAAACGTCGTCGTCTTTTCTACAGTAAATAGGGGTTGTAATAAACAGTGCGTTGCAAGGAATATATTCATACTGTGTGGCCGGGGAGTGCCCCAGTTTAGACGTTTGACATTTCCTTTGGAACCAATCTTCGTATCCCTTATCAAATTAATTGGCCCTCGTGAATGGCAGAAAAGCTGTCAAGTTAGGGTGCCGTCGGCAGTTGATTTAATGAAAACGAACTGCCGACAGCTTTGAAAGAGAATCCAAGGCCAGGGTATAATTGCCGGGTTCTGGCTGCAGATTCTAATCTAACGATAACCTCATTGTAGCTTTGTAGCACCGATTCGCGAAGGCATCTATCAAAGCGTCTGCGTTCGCTGTGCAATATCCAATAGGGTAGTATCGCCTCTAGAGATCAATATCGCTAAAATATGCTTAAATCCTCGCAATGGTAATTGCCTATGAAGCGAATATGCCATTTCATCTAGCCGTCCTAGGCCGATCTCGCGCTCCGTTTTTTTCAAGAGGTATATGGATTGATGGCCTGGGATCTACATCTTCATGGCCCTTGTCAGGCTTTTTCTTATTTTCTTTGAAGCTTCTCGTTTTTTTTTTTTCTACGCCAGTGTTGTGTGGCTTGTTCAACTATTGGGATCTTTGCCAATACTAGTCGTTAGTAATTATATCAGGAGATATTATGCTGCCTCCGTCGTAGCAAGACAAACATCGAGCTTCTCTACCAACAGCTCAGCGAAGGAAGTTAAGAAAAGAGCATTATCAGTACTATCCATAAATTTGATATCGCACCATCGCAACAATCAGCAACCGCAAAACTTACGAGTGAATGTGAGGGTTGTAGGGTAGGATTGACAGCATCGTGCACGTTCCACGCGTGTAGTAATATTAAGCTACCCACATCCAATAATTGCCGACTACTTAGCTCGGTAATGAGAAAACTAGTAAACCAATAGCATGCCTCTATGAGGTTAGAATGGTAAAGGGACAAAGAGGGTCAGTTCCACATCGCTAACTAGCGTTCGTTACCAACTCTGCTGCTGAAACTACGAGGAAGATGTCGAGCGGATAAACTCTGGGAGTACAGGTTTTACGCAAGCCTAATAAAAAAAGAGAATACCTACTCTCTCTAGTAAACAAAGATCTACACATCTATTGAATGCTTAATCCGTCTCTCTCCTCTCTTCCCTAGAGCCATTCTTCTTCTATGTAGTGATTCACCACGTACCTCGTTATACGTAATATAGATCGCTTCTATAACCCTTCGCTCATCGAGTGAAACGACTGACTCGATGCCATGAAACTAAAAGAGAAAGCAAGAATGCTAGACGCACAGTCAGGGGAAAGAAGAAGGGCAAAAATGTAATAAATCTGCAAGTGAGAGAACTAGCAGCAGGTAATACAGGCACACTCGCAAACCTATTCACATGTCAAGAGCCAAAATAAGACGCATCAAGACAACTTACAAATCCTTCTCCCGCCTTCTCACCTCAAAACGATCGGGCCGTCTATGCGATTGCAAATATCGTAACTACGGCAACAAAAACTCCGCTCTCCCAAAATCTCTCAAAAAAACATGGGCCGAATAGAAAAAAAAAAAAAATAAAAATAAAAAAATAAAAATCTATTTTTATGCCGAGCAGCAATAATAGGTAACTCTACCAACAGCATGCACATCTGGATTTTATCTACCCCATTCCCCCGCGGTATATACCCCACGGGTCGAGCGCTGTATATTAAAAGAAACAAGACAAAGATAACCTTCCGCTTGTTCCGCCAGCAAAAATAGAAAAGGGCCGCGGCGCCGGCAACACGCGTATATATATTTCATGCAAGATAGGCCATACTTGCCCCATGATTTGACCGTGAAATCTGCAATCCTACATGGACGGTAATAACCTCAACGCATGGCTCTTAACCCCACATATCTTCCTTCCCACCTTGCTGTTCGAAACATGTGAATAGAACTCACGAACAAAAATCTCACCTATGCGTATTTGTACTTTTATCAGCCAATAATATCTAATCGGGCCTCGCAGCAGCATATCGCCCACCTCAAGTTTAATAAAGACATGACAGATAGAGTATATACCCTCCCTCTTCCTCTCAAGGGATCCGACAATCCCAACCAAGGACACACCCCATTTCGACTTTTTGCATTGTTATGGCCTCATTCACGAGCTCAATACTACGCTCCCAGACTTTACATACATGTGCATATATGATTGCCCCTCTCACCTCTTCAATCCGACTGGTTCAGTTCCAGATGAAGGATCGGCGCTAGGGTCTATCCTTTCTAGGTTTGTATGGATATGATTGGATTGGCCATTGCTGTAATATAACTCAGCGTGGTAGAATGAATTGGATGCTGCGGCCGTTGGGCCACCTCGCACTCTATTGGTGTAGGAATATGCATGCAGACACGACAGGGAGTGGGAGTACCTGTAGTAGCACAAAGCCTCCCCCCCCCAGAAGCAATGAAACCCAATCCTGCAGAGTCCAAAGAGGACGCCCTCAGGTTAGCTACGTTAGTTACCCATTTTCAATCGAACTGCATGCACGAAGCACTAGGTAGTGTAGTTAACAGCATTTGGGAGCCCTGCATCCATCATGTAGCAGCAGTACGAAGCATGGGAAATGAAAGAGGGCTATCCTCTAAAAGATTTTCACCGAAGCACGTTGGGCAGCTGGATGAGTGTAACCTCCATCCTTGCCCGGCGTATTGCGACTACCACCTTGTGGCTAAAAGTTCTTCCTTTTTTCCCCGTAACGTGTGTGTCGCTTATAGCCAAATTGCACGGTACAAAGAGCTCCATTGGTAGAGACTGCTAGTTGATACGTCGTAGAATATCTTTACCCAGTGGTGAAATCGCCAGGCTGCGGTATACTGCCGTTATTCGTACATATCCAGTGTATACTTGTAGTGCATATTTATAATGCGACGGAGGAACTGCTTTGGCTAAATATACCGCCACGGATATATCAGTAATACTTGTAGTCTGTGTTTTGAATAGTACCTAGTTACTTGGCTTTTGAGTGTGAGAAACGAGCACAAGCACGCTGGCAGTAAAGTAAGCATGGCCTGGGGAACAATACTACCTATATTGGATCGAGCCAGGCTCTCAGCCCTGGGTTGTATAAGCGGATGAGGGAATATGAACGCGTCCTCGACTCGAGATGCAAAACTATTAATTTTGGGTGAGCAGACTTGTACACGCAAATCGGCAAGCTGACCAGAGTGACATTTAACCTGTCCCCAGGCAATATGTTGCGCTAACAGGACGCCCTCCCCATGCGCTGCTTGCTCTTGGCGACGCATGCATAATGCATTGCTAAGAGATGCCGCGGTAACGGGCAGTCAGTTTTTCTGTCGGGACCGGGCCAAGACAAGTCAACCCTGCAAAGTCTGGGTTGGGCGTAGGCTTGGTGGCAACACCATGGAACAGTGACTGATTCATAGTTGGTAGGTGGTAATTTCAGGGACACCACATCTGGCGATGCTGCATCGGGTCGCCGCCCCCGATTAAGGCACAAAGATCCACCATCTTTTTTTCAGTCTATCGATGGCCATCGCGCGATCCTAGGTTGTTTCTTTGAATTGTTGTATATACCCTCTCCCAAGCGATGTCGCTGGCTGACAGAGACGCTGCTTTGGTATTAAGCATCGTGCAGGGGCGGGATAGCTGCCACCATCTTCGGGGTCTCTCGGCCATTCAGCATCCCTCTCTGCCGTTGTGTCTGGCCGTGCTGACCGCCGCCAACTGCTTTCCTCTCATGCCTTGCCTGTGAGAATGGGGACCCGGTGGGACTCCCCTTTGTTGTGCGTTGGTAGACGGAGCAAGTCGCAAATCGTCATACTAGCAATACCAGTAGTACGTATATACGACCGAGGGCACTCCGCGAAAACTGCCGGTGCTCGGCGTTTTCGTATAGTGTAGCAGCTTTCTGCGGATACTACAGCGACGATGACGAGGAATAAGAACCGGGAACATACGAGAATTACAGTTGGATATGACATCTAGCGAAGTCAATAATCAAATAGGCCGAGAGGCGTTCACTAAAGGCTAATTCCCTTCTGGGGAAATTTGTGTGGCTTTTTCAGTTTGGCCGGAATGTGGGCTGCCACGCTGCTCGGCGAGAGAGCCAAGAGTGCATGTAATACCTAATGTAGGTGCTTCACACCATGCTCATACTCTCTCGATGCCCTGCCTTGGCGACTGCCTCGTCTCAGGCCCATGGATGGTTTGGTGCCTTCGCGCCCCGATGCAGCTACGGCAAGCCACAATGCCACGCGATGAAGTGCCATGGGGCGAGACGAACGAACGCTTCATGATCACCATACAGCAGCTTGTGGTCCGAGGGTTCGCTACGGAGCACCATGCCTCGGCAGCTGAGCCGGATCTGAATATGGCAGCGCTGAACCCGGCGTTCGCGAGTACGCTCTCAGCTAGATTTTTTTTTTTTTTTTTTTTTTTTTGCCATCTTCCTTGGTCACCGTGTCAGAGTATTGGTCCCGTGATGTCAAGGCCGAAAATTTTCTTCACCCCTTCTTCCCCATAATCCCCTGTCCCCCCGTATGTTCATCCCTTCATCAGATGAGCAAATACGGGGCGGCTTTCGGCCTCGATCTGGCGTCTCGATGGGTCTAGAAACTCGCCGGCATGTGTCGGCTAGCAGCCAATGCCTGCGCCGGTACGAGCTGGTACGTACCTCTGGTGGAAGGCTGGCGTGCATCCTGTCGAATCAGCGCAGCAAGGCGGCGCGGCTGAAGGGGCCCTTGGCTCAGCTAGGTTTGGCGTCCCGGAAATCCCCCAAGAGCCAGCAGATGCCAGGCTGCGCGTAGAGCAAGCCCCCGTCCACTGGCGTGAGAAGGATTTTTTTTTTTTCCTGATATTAACGTGACCTGAAATTTGCAGAGAAGCTCCGCATTGTGGGCGTACATGTGGAGTGGTGTTTCGGTCCGGAGACGTGCATGGTGAGGCATGCTAGCTGGCGTATGGAGTGCGAGCTGGGGGGTGCCCGAGCATTGGGTCCGGTTCGCCTGTTTTCTGGTCGTGAGTTTATTAGTCAGAGGGGAGCGAGCAGTAGCTGGGTAGATTTAGCCACGGCGATGGAGACAAGGTTTATTTTTGTGTGTATTGCAGGGAATGCCACGATGGCGATACTGCTGCTAGACGTCTGGTGTTGGATCATGTCAATGGCTGTTGGGCGTAGACATGTCAACAGCCCCTAGTATGAGGAGGCAAATAGTAACGCCGAATGGCCAAACTGCCTAGTATGATTCTGTGAGATGATGCTAATCCACTTGATCACGGAGCCGGGAGCATCCCCAGAGGAGGCTGAAAGTTTGGAGGCGGTTTGAAGCCAGAGACCAAAGCAGTGGGTTTGACTGATCAACGACGTCAAAGAATCATGAAACGGGCTGGCATATTGGCCGGGGAAGTATTAGGGCCATCTTTGTTTCGGCCAAAGAGATCCGAGACAGCTATCTCGACTCCAGCATCTAACTCAAACCTCGCTCTGGGCGCCATCGTCGCGAGGTGCAGTAGCATCCCGTTTTCAGCCTCGCCGGTGGGCAGATCTTGGCATCGGCCATCGGCCAAGCTGTCACATTCTACAAGGAGACCTGTAGAAATGCACTATTGATTGTGATGAGTGTGATGAGGCACATGGCCTGCCGTGCTGTAGGTGCTCTGCCTGAACGCAGCGACGAGGCCAGGCATGATCCGATCGACCTGTCGATGCGGTGATGGGCGGATGCACATTGGACGCGTGACAATTGGGTGTTGGTTAAGAATAGAGCCAGCACTAGTGAATCCGGCAAACCGCCGAAGAGGCGCCCGTGATGCGATGGGATGCGGGCGAGACGCAGCCAGAGCAAATACGCAACGGCTCACACGACACGAGATGACTCCGCGTATAGCACTCGAGGCCTGTAGTCCTGACCTGGTGGCGCATGACTTCCGCGTATTGCCGCAAAATGCTGTGGCCGTTAGCTGTCGCGCCTTTGGCTGGCAGCGAGTCAGCAGCAGCAGTTCGGAGATGATTCCAGATTGCAGATTTGCGCGGTGGCCAATTGGCCGCCAAGCCGCCCCTAGCTCGGTCAATTACCAGCAGCAGCACGCCTGCGGTGGGAGAGACGCTGAACGCGGGCAGCAAAGCACCCCTCCAACCACCAACAGGAGGGTCCATCCAGGGCAAAATAATAGCGCCGCTGAGTACGACCGAAAATTGGCCCTTTGGGAGGCAGCGCCGGTGCCCTCTCCAGCTTTTCGACCCCGACTTCCCCCACGCTGGCCCAACGCAGCTGTCAGCGCGGCGCCCATGGGGAAAATAGAGTGCGCATGGAATACGGGGAGAAACAAAGGCGATGGGAGGGAAGCGCCGAAAAGGGCCAATTGCTCAGGCTGGGCGGTGGCTAGCGAATGCCGTCAACGCCATCGAGCGAGCGACGCTTTTGGAGAATCCAGATGCCCGTATTCAGCGACCGGTCAGCCCTGCTCGCTCTGCTCGGCTAGCACACCGCAATAGTGTGTCTTTGTACGTAACAGCCGTGAGATTTTTTTTTTTTTGGCTCTGTCCAGCGGGAGAGGCCCTAGCGTTCGCTGCTCGCCAGTGCAGATGCTGGCATCGTAGCATGGCATGGCCTGGCATGGCATGACATGGGCTGGGATGGATCGACGGACGGACCTCGATGCGTTTTTCCTTGGCCAGATTAGATAATCCGGTACTGCGGTACATGCTGCGGTACTGCCGCAGTGGCTTTTCTTTAGAAGAGCAGCCAACACGAACAGAAGTTCCACGGCGACTTCCACAACGGAGCCTAGCATCATGCACACAATAAGTGCAAATGCCATCCGGCGCTAGTGCCCGAGGATGAGCAGCCACCAGGCGCGAAGTCTAATGAATTGCGCCGATGAAGAAATTTGATGGAAGTAGTTGGGTGTGCTGGACGAAGAGGAACTAAGATGCCAGAGTTTGGTACGTACCCCGGATTGAGGTGCTTGCTGTTGTTGGATCGGATACAGGCACTCTAGTAGGCACAAACCTAAACATGTAACCAGCCAGGTAACCTCTGTCAAGCACACGTACTATGTACCCTCCATGTACCCTGTCGTCCACTCCGCATCTCGCATCTGACTCTGCCCCAGGTATTGCTCACCAGATGATACTACCTCATTCACACCTTGCTTGTACCTGCCTGCACTGGATCAAATACCCAGGTATCTACAGTACGATGCAAGCATATGCCATTGCTGCCTGCTGCCCAATGCCTCGCACAGCAGTCCAATTTCAAATAACATTGATTTTGCCAATAGGTGCTGCTAGTGCAGGTAACTGTGATGCATGTGTCATGCTAGAACACCGGCAGCAGACATTTGGCTCTCAGCCAGGCGCTACTAGTACATAGCATGTACATAGGCACAGTACATAGGCCAGCAGCGAGCCCCTACTGCCGGCCCTTCTCGGCGCTTCTCTGCTTCGTCCGGGGCTAGGGGTCCAGCCACGGGCCACTCATGGCTTGCGACCGTCGCTGCACTGCGTCGGCCTTACTTCGTAGCTCAGCAGCCTCCGGGCCCCGCAGATCCCCCATGCGGGCTTCCCCAGACGCGTCTGGACGGTGCAGCAGCTGTGGGAGGCTCTCGCAGCGTCCTCCAGCACCGCGGCCAAGCTTCTAGCGCCCAGCGCCAGGGGCCACTCAATCTCCTTTCCCGGCGACCAGGGGCCTCCCTTGCCCGCAAGCCTAGATTTGGGCGGTGCCTCTGCCACATGCCTGCTCTCGCGTGCGCCTCCACCCCGGCCCCTATTGCAGCGCTGTAGGCCTATTCGACGGCTCGATTTTCGCAGCTGCAGACTGATGGACAGCCAGAAAGACTGCAAGGTTGCATTTGCCTCGTAGCGGCCGGCCAATGGACTGCTGTTTGTCCCGCCGGGCGGTGATGAATTTGATTGCGCTGCTGACCGGACACAGCGAGCACGGCCAATAGCCTCGCCGCCCGCGCCTGATCGACGGTGGCTATGGCGGACGCTCCCCTGGCCTGGGCTGCACGAGATGCGCTGCAGCCAATGTCGCCACAGGCCAACTGCAAAAATTTTCTTCTTCAATCCCACCAGGACTGCTAACGTTAGAATTGCAGCCGTGCCTGGACTCAGGCAGCTGGGGCGCTAGGCCAGACCCGAACGCCGGGCTAGGAGAATAGCTTGTGGGTGAGGCCGAGCGCCACACCAGGCGCACCTCCACTTCTCCACCGCGCCCTCGTACCTAGTCTTAGCCTCTGCATCATGCACCACCAGGAACATGCAATTCCACGGCCAATGCCAATTGCACTCTCACAAACCGCCGGCACCATGCAGAGGCATAGGCTCTGACCCTGCCTCTGACTCTCTCGCCCACCCCCTCAACCCACCCCCCGCGCACTCTCGCTCGATCCAGGCCCCTGTCGGAGGGGCGTGGCCCTTCTCCAGGTAGCGTCTAGAGCCAACCTTCCCCAAAGCCTCTCCACCATCGACTCTGGACGACGGCTGGCGTCACGATAATAAAAAGGTCGGCCTGCCTCCCGTCCCTTCCCTGGTTTCCTGTCTTGCCTCGTCGATCTCTGTCTCACTGCAAAGAACCCGTTCCGTTCGCTCGGCCCGGGAGTTTCCTCTTCTTCCATTCCAGTTCTCTGCCATCGCTCCAACAAACACAGACGAGAGAATTCCAGCATTCGACGCCATGTCCGACTCGCCCGAAGTCAACGCCCCGGAGGGCCGCAAGCAATCCGTGGGCATCCACACTACCCAAGACGTTGAGCACATCGAGGCTCCCATCACCTGGCAGGCGTACATGATCTGTGCCTTTGCCTCCTTTGGTGGTATCTTCTTCGGTTATGACTCCGGTTACATCAACGGTGTCAACGGCTCTCCCATCTTCTACAAGGCCGTCGAGGGCGCCCTCGCCACCAAGCTCACCGACAGCCACACCTCCCTGATTACCTCTATCCTGTCCTGCGGTACCTTCTTCGGTGCCCTGATTGCCGGTGATGTTTCCGACTGGATCGGCCGAAAGTGGACCGTCATCATGGGCTGTGTCATCTACATGATCGGTGTCATTATCCAGATGGTTACCTCTCCCGAGCACGCTCTTGGCCCCATTGTTGCCGGTCGTCTGATTGCCGGTCTCGGTGTCGGTTTCGAGTCTGCCATTGTCATTCTGTACATGTCTGAGATTGTAAGTCTAGCTCATGCATATCTACATTCCAGTCACCATTTCCCGGCCGCTAACTTGATTCTCCTTGACAGTGCCCTCGCAAGGTCCGTGGTGCTCTCGTTGCTGGTTACCAGTTCTGCATTACCATCGGTATCCTGCTCGCCTCTTGCATTGTCTACGGCACTAAGGACTACAACAACACTGGCGCCTACCGTGTCCCCATCGCCATTCAGTTCCCCTGGGCTCTGATTCTCGGTGGTGGTCTGCTCTTCCTCCCCGACTCCCCCCGTTACTTCGTCAAGAAGGGTGAGATCCAGAAGGCTATCAACTCCCTGTCCCGTGTCCGAGGCCAGCCTGAGGACTCCGAGTATGTCCAGAACGAGCTTGCTGAGATTATCGCCAACGAGGAGTACGAGCGTGCCCTGATCCCCTCCACCACCTGGTTCGGCTCTTGGGCCAACTGCTTCAAGGGTTCTCTCTGGACCGGCAAGTCTAACCTGCGACGAACCATCCTCGGTACCTCTCTCCAGATGATGCAGCAGTGGACTGGTGTCAACTTCATCTTCTACTACTCCACTCCCTTCCTCCAGTCTACCGGCGCCATCAGCAACTCCTTCTTGATCTCCCTGATCTTCTCCCTGGTCAACGTCTGCTCCACTCCCCTGTCTTTCTGGACCGTTGAGCGATTTGGTCGTCGTACTATCCTCATTCTTGGTGCTCTTGGTATGCTTATCTGCCAGTTCCTGGTCGCCATCATTGGTGTTACTATTGGTTTCAACAAGACCCACCCCGATCCCAGCGACCCCAGCCAGAACCTTGCCGACAACATTCCTGCCGTCAACGCTCAGATTGCTTTCATCGCCATCTTCATCTTCTTCTTCGCCTCCACCTGGGGTCCCGGTGCCTGGATTGTCATTGGTGAGATCTTCCCTCTGCCTATCCGATCTCGTGGTGTTGCTCTGTCCACTGCTTCCAACTGGCTGTGGAACACCATCATCGCCGTCATCACCCCCTACATGGTCGGTACCGATAAGGGCAACCTGAAGTCCTCCGTCTTCTTCATCTGGGGAGGTCTCTGCACTTGCGCTTTCGTCTACTCCTACTTCCTGATCCCCGAGACCAAGGGTCTGTCCCTCGAGCAGGTCGACAAGATGATGGAGGAGACCACCCCCCGAACCTCTGCCGGCTGGAAGCCCACTACCACCTTTGCCGCTCAGATGGGCACTGGTGACTACCTGGAGAAGGCTACCGTTGAGGTATAAGCGATCTAGACATCTTGCTGCATCTGCTCCTCTTAGAACAAAATAGTGTTCTTTTTTTCATTTTATATTTTTCAGCTTTTTATTTTTTTAACCTATTTCCTTTATACGCGGTTGGGTGGATGGCTGCAAGTAATGGTATACTGCAGATTTTTGATGAAATCATACCCAGGGTACGGTGGATGTACCCCAAGAGATGTTTTTTGACGTGGCGACGTTTTTGTAATGCGGTAGAAGCCAAACATAACTATATTACTAGTTAAAAATGTTAACCCAAAGATCCAAAAAAAAACTTTCTTTCTCGCGCTTTTAGGATGCGAAATAACCCCCTCAAGTTTTTTCACAGATTCCCTTCTAGCAAACCCTGTTTTACTACTATTATTTTATCTTAATAAGATCATTATTTGATCTACTTCTCTTTTTGTCATCTTCCCTTTGTGTGTGTGTGTGCGTGTCATTGCTTGCTTCTTAAGGCTCTCTTGTCTATGATGCACGGTTGATCTGCCCTTTACTCTCTCTCTCTCTCGTGCAATTTGACACGCCTCGCCTTTTTTTGATTTTCTGTCCTTAGCTGAGGTGAGATTTTTCCACTTCGGCTCTTGGCACCTGATGCCTGAAACTCCACCAATCAGCGTTTGCGGGCGATTGAACGAACACAAGTCTTAGTGCCACAAGAGGCGCACGTGTAGCCGAATTTGGCAACTCGTAGGAACGTGTAGAAAAAAGGGAGGTGAAGGGGTGTAAGGGGGGGGATAAAGGTATTCGCTTTTTGTATGTCTGATCGGCGCTACGTGGCGTGTAATTATTAAATTGCTGAGATGGAGAAATAGGAGTAATGATGATGACGATGAACTTGATTTGCTTGGTGGTTTCTACGGAGAACGTATTGGAGTTGGTATGGCTAATAATAGGTTTCATATGAGCTTGGTTTGGAACCATTGTGTCTTGCTTGTGAGTAGCGTAGACATGGTGCCCCCTATCGAGTGATATTGACTAATTGCTTTATGCTATGCGGTGACTTGTATGCCCTGATTCATTACTCATCGAATAAGCTGAGGTGACGTGTCGAAACTAATAGATCGAGATGTATAGTAGAGAATGTCACATCCTACATGGACGCTGAATTGATTTCTCCATGCAGACCGTCTCTAGGTTATTATTAAGACCATATTGGGGTATCTTTAAATACATGTTTGGTATATCTTGGCACATCGACTTTCGTGAATGTAGAAATGACAAAGCAATAGCAACTCTTGCGTTCGCTTGAACCACCCAGAAAAACAAAAACAAAAACAAAGAGCAACATCATGTTAGTAAGCTGTAGACTGCATCAGTCGACATGTCTCCTCGCAGAAGAAGCAGCCTGCTCATGGGATCTAGCCCCGTCGCTCGCCTCGCTCGCCTCGCTCACTGAGGCTACAGGCCCCTGTAATATATTCTCCGTGCTCTTCTCGCCTTCATTCTCCCTATCAACGCCGCTGCCCAGGGGTCTCATCCCATTCTTCGTCACCCTCCACGACTGCAGCGCGAAGCCGCCATCTCCGCCAGGCCGAACCGGTGTATTGCTGCTACCGCCGCTGCGTGTCTTCTCTGCGAAGTATGTGACGAGGGGCGCGAGCGTGGGCACGCAGGCGATGATGATGCCCACGTTGGTTTCGACGATGGACCACTTGATGGCCTCGGCTGAGTCGAGGTAGTTGACGAGGCTAGCGATGGTTTGGATGCGGATGATTTGGACGATGGTGACGAAGATGCCTAGGGCAAAGAGGCACAGCAGGGCGATTTTTCGACGACGCTTCATCTGGAGCTTGATGAGGACAGGGAAAGGGAGGACGAGCCTGGTTGGTATGAGTTAGAGATGCAAATGTCTCTTAGAATCGAAAGATTGGTTTGCCTGGAAACTTACGTGATCACGTCAAAGATAATTGTGAGGGATGAAAACGTGATATAAAAGGGGACCGCCTGGCCACAGTGACCTGGCGTGGTGGGTATCCATTGTTTTCGAACCTAGGTAGGCACAATGAACAATTAGTATAAATGTCACACATGGATTTTATGAAAGAGAGACATACTGGAATGCACAGAAGCAAGAAAACGAGCAGAAAGGCGATATGTGCCAAAGTAACAATCACAGCCAGCGAAATGGGCACTAATCGATATGTGCCAGGTACCAGGCGGACGTAGGATACGAGTAGGCTGGTTTTAAAACCCCAGATACCAAGGACATAGCTGAGGCGGGCATTTGTAAGTATAACAGCCATCCTGCAGGAAGAGGCAAAAAGGAAAGAGTTGGCTTACAATGGTGCTCCGACATATTGTGTCTAGAAGATTGTTAGTATATTTGAGAAATAGAACAAAATAATAGGACGAGGGCGGGCTGGACGCACAAAGCCAAAGTTAACTACGTTTTTATCAGGCATGTCGTTGAGTGAAGTAAGTCCAAGACCCCATTTCGTCTCTGTGAAGTTGTTAAAAGTTTGTTGAAGTCGAGATAGAGTTAGAGTATTAACGTACGGACAACAATTGCGGATGCGTACCCGCAAGCTCCAATCTATTACAGTTGCGAATGCGAGTCAGTTAACCTTTCTGTTTATCCACCACGGGCGAGCTTTAGCGAAAACCTAAAACAAGGCAATCGAGAGACAGTAACCGCAGATGATGTAAACATACCCAGCCAGCGATGATCAGCCAGTCGTCTGTGTGCATGACAATTCTTTAATTAGCCCATTGCCCTATCCAGATCGAAGCGGTGAAACACAAAAATGGCGATCAACGGGCGCCAAGAACCCGCTTGTTCAGATACGTACCTAAACCGACGGCCTTTGCGATCCTCGTCCGGACATAGAGCCGTAGACATAGCGCGACGAGAGACAATGCTGTTACCGCCAAAGCAATGGAGGCTATCATGGACCCATTGTTTGGTGTGCCCTCCTGCGTGTTGTACGCCCACGCCATTGTCGTTCCACTTGCTGTATATCAAAACAACAAAACAAACGAGATGTAGAGAATATTGGGAAATCTGGCGGCTAAAAACCAGAAATAGTGGAGGTGGGACACCCTTGGTATTTTTTGCACAATACCAAGAAAAAAAAAGGGGAGCTTGTAATCCAGAGTGTCGGGTTCCCTAGGACAGGGTATTAAAGTGAGAGTGAGTGAGTGAGCGAGTGAGAGAGGTAGCGAGAAGGGGGGTTATTATTATGTGCGCAAGACACACACGCACACACACACACTTCCGAGGAGAATGCTCTCAGAATATTCATACCCTGATGCCTGCTGCAGAGGAGTTTAGCAATATCGCAGATGATGAAACGCAGGGACTATTCGCGAGAGCCGGCATCGTGGTAGAAACTCCAGATGGAAAGCTGTGCCTATGTGGCTTGCAGCTAGGCAAGTGTTAAAAAAGCCACAGGGCAGGAAAAGGGTAAAGAAGCGAAAAGAGAAAACCGTCAGCATGCAGAGAGAGGCATGTCTCAGTCCATTTTAACGGTCCTAGGCGTCCAATACTACCCTCAGATTTGATGCTAAAAAAAAAAAAGCCCCCTCTCCCAAAAAGAGGTGGGAGTAAGAAAATGGAAGGCGAGAATTTGGAAGCAAGAAACTTCGCTGACATGGGGTTTCATTGACTGCCGGCCCCCCAGAGCAGAGAAGAGGGTGAGTGTGTCAGCTAATGCCGTGCCCCATGTTTATTTTCATTGGCCCTTTTCCTGTTTCTTCTCTTCCGAATGGTGTCAAAATGCCTTTTAAGGGAAGGAGTTCCGCCAGCCCTCATTACTGGCGTACTATGTGTGTTGCTCTCTCACTGCTACCATTACTTGTGCCATAGTAATAGTTGTCGGTCTAGATTATATTAACAAGCTTCCTATCTCCTCTAGCTGATTCATCTAGTGCTAGCTACCGTCGCATCGGCACCAAAACGGGGACAGCCAGAACGACTTGTGTGGCTTCAATGCGAGGGCCGAACATGGGGCTGGTTGTCTAGTCTTGATCCCCCATCATCTGGCTCTCAGTTGGCTTGCTCACAGATCTCGAACAGCCAAGTTGGAAATGAAAGGCCACTAGCATTGACCGGAATTTCATTTCAACGCTACTAAACCAGCTCAAACCCCGAACGCACTTTCTTTTTGCCCTTTTCTCTCTCTTGGCGTTTTTGTTTTATTTTCCTTTTCTCCGCACCCTCTTGCCTTTTGTCCCTTGTTATTAGCAAATCGTTCTGGCATACATACCCAAGATCCTTGAGAGGGTAGCATCTACAGGTAAGAGTCGTAGAAGACAAGTGGGCGGCTGTAGGGATCGCCTTGGGCAGCGGGCGGTCTACCCAGATGACGGAGATGACTCGACTTCACGTGAACCTAGACCAGCAGAACACAAAGTATGCTGTATGAGGGGCAACCTGCTAGCTCGGTTGCATTCGGCCTTTGACACGGCGTGATATCCTATGGTGATGACAGCTTGGGAGCTGGAATTGACGCCGCAAAGAAATGGTTTGTGAGATCTGATCTGCAAGCCATGACGCCAGTCTACCTGACGCATCACCTTGTCCAAGAAACAGCACTATTGCGCGCTCTAGACTCGTGGAGCATGAATATGATCTCTGTAACGGGAACGACCATCCCGTCGTTACTAATCCCAAGTTCTTTAGTTCCCATGCTATCCAGCTTTGGCGCGCGGAAGACGGCCTATCTTTCCCCAAGCCTCGGGCGATGTCTTATTCTGTCTGTTCTGTCTCAGTCTTATTTCGCCTCAGGTTTACTTTACTTCGCCTACGGAACGCCACCAAGCGTGCCGTAAACCGGCTTCCCCGACTTCCCCGTCCCCCTAGCCGCTTCGGGAACTCCACTCTTGAAGAGCCGGCAGCCACAGCGCGCGTTCTTTTCCAAGAAGAGACATGGTTTCAGAAGTAGTAGGCTGCTAGCAGCATTTAGCAGCGGGAGCCTAGTTACCTGTTGCTCTGTAAAACATCAATTAGACAAAAGTTCGAGAGCCGCGAGAAAGAAGACGTTTTGCGTCGAGCAATGGGGGCATTGATGACATATTCAGTGCGAGGATGGCATGCATGAAAATCTCGCTAGGCACGAGCATCCGAAGGGCAAATTACACATCATTTACAAAGTCAGAAAGGGAAAGCAGAAACCTTACCTTTTCGTTCTAGCGAGTGAACGTTGCAGGCATTGAATACGACGCAGCAATGCAATGCCGAACAGCACCAAGCCCTTCTGCGTGTCCCTGAAGCCTTATCCCTGTCGGCATGCAGGAGAGCTGTCGACTTTTTTTTTGATTTTCTTTCGCAGCAAGCGCAGCTTCAGCTCGCCACTAAAAACACACAAATCTCTCAGTTACACCAGGGATCTTGGGGCACAGCAGCAGTATTCAGAAGCACTAGGCAAGCTTGTTGCAGTAGTGCTGGGACGATGCAAGCCTGCAACCCTTTCCAAAGCGACGGTGACGGAGGCACACTGAGGTTTCGAGATGGAGGTCCAGACTTGAACAGAACATCGGCAAGGCTTTTTTTTTATTTCATTCCTTTGATTTGATTACCTGTTATCGGCCGAATTGACTGCCGAACCACGGGGTATTAGGAGATTTTTTGCTCGAATACTACCTCACCAGCATATATACACACTTATATGCCGGCACTGGTGCTCCTAGCAGCATCGGCACATAGAAAACCAGAACACATGGTGTAATGGTCGTGCTAATAAGAAGAAGGACATGGCCTCCAGATCCTTCTCCAACTCTTTCACCAAAACCCCTCTTCAGCTCTCCCTCTTCTCTGCTTCGTATGAAGTTCCCTTGTCTCTGCATTGGCCAATAACATCTTCACATACCGGGTTATTTGGGGTCACGTTCTCATACGTACGCCGAAAGGAGCGCGGTCTTGTTCTTCCCCCAGTCAAGCCTTTTGAAAGAGGGGGCCCTTTTTTAGCCCCAGCCGAGCACCAAAAAAATACTACACGTTACTGAGGAGCAGAGCACGTCTCTGCGGCCGCGGACTTGGCAAAGCAAACAATTGGGGCTTTGCAGCCCGCGCATCGCGGTGGTTTGATTAAGCTGCTAGCATTAGACTCGCAACTATCGACTGATGATGTCGCCTGAAAGAGAAGTAGACCGATTAAACCGGCACGCATAGTGCCGAGATGGGTAAACCGGAGACGCAAGATGGAAGGGCTGTAAATCGAGCACACATGGACGCTGGATATAAGTCTGCCGGCCCGCGCATCCTCGCCGCATAATAGCTAGTTCATCCATCTTTGCTTTCCTCAGCGTTCTCTTCACCGTCGCTCCACCTCAAAAGATGCATCGTCTAGGAGCTGCGTTGCTTGCCATTGCGGGCTTTGCAGGTCTCGCTCATGCTGCACCCGCAAGCACGACGCCATGTTGCAAATGCTTTCCAGGCGATGCTTGCTGGCCCAGCGCCAGCGACTGGGCTGCGTTCAACAAGACCGTCAACGGGCGGTTGATTGCGACGGTTCCTTTGGGATCGCCGTGCCACGGTGATTCTTACAATGCGACGGAATGCCAGTTTCTGCAGGACAATTGGCTATATTCTCCGATTCAGTAAGTAGTGGAATGCGTTTGGTAGCATCTTCAAGATATTTCCCCAGATAATGCACGTACCATTCTTTGCCCCCGATCTCGTCTGACAGAGAGTCTGCGCGTCAGCTACAACTCGTCCTCGTCGGTTATGGCGCCCCTGTTCGCCAACGCGAGCTGCGATCCCTTTCAGCCAGAGGACACTCCTTGCACGCTCGGCAACTATGTGCGATATGCGGTCAACGTGTCCACTGCAGCCCATGTTTCGGCAACTCTCCAATTTGCGGCCAAGCGCAACATTCGCTTTGTCATTCGCAACACGGGACACGATTACAACGGCCGCTCGACCGGTGCAGGTGCCCTTTCTGTCTGGACTCACCACCTCAAGGACACCGAGATTTTGGATTGGGACGACCAGTTTTATACCGGCAAGGCCCTCAAGGTGGGAGCCGGTATCCAGGGCTTTGAGGCGCTTGAAGCCGCACACGCCGCAAACTTGATTGTGGTGACGGGAGAATGCCCTACTGTTGGTCTTGCTGGAGGCTACGTTCAAGGCGCCGGGCACTCAGCTCTTAGCACCATCTACGGCTTAGCAGCCGACAATGCCCTCTCATACGATGTGGTGACTCCCAACGGCACGCTCGTTACCGCAACCCGTACCCAGAACAAGGACCTCTACTGGGCGCTCAGCGGTGGCGGCGGCGGTAACTACGGCGTTGTCATCTCCATGGTGTTCCGTGCCCATCCAGACGATGTCGTCGCTGGTGCCAAGTTTGCCATTGATACTTCCTCGCTAGGTGATAGCGTGCTGTACTCAGTCATTGATGCTTTCCACGCAGCGCTGCCTGCCATTGTAGACTCGGGCGTGATGATCATCTACTTCTTCGGCCCAGGCTTCTTCCAGGTGCCCGCCATGACTGCGTACGGCAAGACCCAGGACGAGGTCGAGGCCATCCTGGAGCCCTTTGTCAGTGCGCTCGCTGAGCTCAACATCGACCTGGCTCCCACGTACACGCAATTCCCCAGCTACTTCCAGCACTTCCAGAACTACTGGGGCCCGCTTCCCGCAGGAAACATTCAGGTCGGCACCGACTTGTTTGGAGGCCGATTGATCCCCCGCTCGGTGCTCCCGAATTTCTCGCCGACGGCGCAGAAGCTAGTCGAGCTCGGCGTCACCTTCATCGGCGTGGGCCTCAACGTGTCAAACTTTGGCCTCGACAACGCCAATGCCGTGCTGCCGCAGTGGCGCTCGTCCATCGTCGAGGCCTCGCTTACGCTGCCGTACAGCTTCCAGGTGCCCTTCCAGGACATGATTAACACCCAGGACACAATCACCAACGTCGTGCAGCCCGTCATCGAGGCTGCCACGCCCAATGCCGGTGCCTACATGAACGAGGCTGATTTCCAGCAGCCTGACTTCCAGGACGTCTTCTTCGGCGTCAACTACCCGAAGCTGCTGCAGATTAAGCACAAGTATGACCCTAACAGCCTGCTGTATGCGAGAGCAGCAGTGGGCAGCGAGGTGTGGACAGTGGCTGAGAACGGCCGGATGTGCAGAACTCAGTCATGATGCGGTGACTGATTCGTGACGGCATGGAAAAATTCATGGTAGTGCTTTATTGATGTATGATGCGGTCTTCTAAAGACTTGGGATGAGATGATGCAATCCATAGCATAGTGATATTTTATAGCGCTGAACTTAAACAAAGAGAACAGAACAGATACAGGAAGATACCTGATAGCAGTACAGTAAAGATGACATCAAGGAAAATCAATCACTTACAGCCCGAGCCTCACCCCATATCGTGCACCCATCTTAGTACCACTTACCAGCACCCTGAACCTGGATATTCCCGTAGCGCCGATGCCGATAGATAAAACGCTGTACGCGGGCCCTATTATTAGATTGCCAAGATTACAAGATCTAGCGCAAGAGACGGACGCTTGTGTGATTAGTGGGTTGTAATGCACCATCTCGATCGGCACATGCCAGCCACTTTCGCTTCTGAGGATCAAGCAGATTGACTGCAGCAGTGCGGGATGCTACAGCGGAGTTTTTCTCTTCTGACTCGCTGCAACTGCACACAATAACAGAGGAGCTGCGTGTTATGCATCGTCTGCAGCGCCTTGGCTCGATTCGGGGTAATACCTACATATGTAACTCATACAAGAAGGATTTGTCTGCACTCCGTATGCATCTCGCTCTTCGGAGCACGAGCCTCGAGGATTTATTAGACGACGGATGCATGCAGTGCGGCAATTTTCCATTTTCAGCCTCGCAGAACTACGCGAGGGTTGACGCCTGCAAGCTTCATGTCGCCGGACCCTCTCGGCATCCAACCGCGTCTTGCTGCTACAGCCACAAGCAAGATGTTTGTAGACAGCATTGCATTTCCGTAAAATACGGCTTGTTTATCCGTAATACATGTGTTCATAATATCCGAAGGTGAATCTCGGCTTGGCGGAGTTAAAAGACGACGGGCCTTTTTTCTCTGGTTCTCTTTTTTAAGCTCGCATATTAAACGACGGAAGTTTATGCGGCGACAAGGTACTGTTACTCCGAGGAGAATCAATACCGTTCTCATCATCACTGCGCGCGCTCTCTGCCAGGCATATCAAAACATTACGAGGACAGAATTCTGAAATGGGCAACTGTGAAGGGAATATCGAATCAAACCAGCCCCTTTGTGGCGATCTGACCGTGATGCTTTAAATTCTGTACAACTCGGTACACGGAGCAACTCGGTATAAATACGGAGAGCAACGCACCCTACGCCACTTGCAACACATGTATACGTAGCATGTAGGATTAACGGCCATCTACTACTACTAAGTAACGGTACATGTGGCTTTTGCACTGTCAAATTCAGGGTCTTGGCTCTACTAGGCTATTCTTAGGACGGCCAAACTAGACGAAAGAAAAAAAAAAAAGGTTCCGGTTTCTCCGCTACTGTTCCGAGCATAGTTCCAGCACGCCGTATCTAGCTTTAGTTTCCATGATATCGACGCAGCCGTTAAATACTACAATGTTCCTCCTCGCCCACTCCACAATGCCTCTCTCTGCTGCCCTGCCATAACAAACCCGGCTGTTCAAGCCGTCAAGACTGTCGCAATGGGAGCCTCGCGAATGCCGCTCTCGCAGGTGCTGCCGCCCCTCATCCTGGGCACGGCCACCTTCAACCACCAGTATCATCCAGATCCCTCGCGCATGCCCTACGTCGATATTGTCCGGAGAGCGCTCGAGCACGGAATCAATGCCTTCGACACATCGCCCTACTACGGCCCTTCTGAGATCCTGCTGGGCCAAGCTCTGCGGCTCCTCACGCCGCCCCCGCCGCGAGAAGGATATTTCCTTGTAACAAAGGCCGGCCGAATCAAGTCCGACGAGTTCGACTACTCTCCAGCTTGGGTGCGCTACAGCGTCTGCCGCAGCTTGGAGCGTCTGGGCACGCGGTACCTGGACCTGGTGTATATGCACGACGTCGAATTTGTGTCTGCGGCCGAGGTTCTCCAGGCTGTCAAGGAGTTGCGCCGACTGCGCGACCAGGGCCTGATTCGCTATGTTGGTATAAGCGGATACCCTGTCGAGACCCTCGCCTCTCTGGCCGAGATGATACTGAGAGAGACTGGCGAACCCCTTGACGCTGTTCTCTCTTATGGCAACTTTTGCCTGCAAAACACTCAGCTCGGCCGGTCTGATTTCCTGCAACGGTTCCAAGCAGCCAGAGTCGAGTGTCTGCTAAACGCCAGCATGCTCAACATGGGCCTGCTGACGACCCGAGGTGTTGATAATGGCCCAATGGTGTCTTGGCATCCTTCGCCGCCAGAACTGCGAAAGGCCTGCACAAAGCTATCGCAAATCGCCAAGGACAATGGCGAGCACCTCGAGGGAGTGGCCATCCGGTGGGCTCTGGAACAATGGGCCCGCGCCGGAAAAGACTTTGGCACAACGGCCTATGTCGGGGCTGGCCCTCGCATCGGCGCAAGCGTCATGGGAGTGACGGCCATTACAGAACTCGACGAGACCTGGGATCTATGGAGAAGCGTTATTGGACCCGTGATTGGCGCCAAAGACGATGTCGCAACGCAGAGGAGTGACAAGATTACGAAGCTTGTTGAGGACAAGATGTGGCCTAGCCTGGGATCGTGGAAGGACCACGCCTGGGAGAGTGGTGGCGAGACGTTTGTGAATACCCGAGTCAATCCTGGACAGATTCCCAATGATGATGTGGCGGAGAGATGGGGGCTGGTTCCTTCAACAGCAGTTGTAGTTTCCAAGTTATAACGTGCAACGCCTAATAGTATATAGACTAGCATACCTTTTTCTTGTTATTTCATTTCGTTTCTCACATAAATTCCTAAAGTACATACCACCGCAATACACCAATTACCATAATCACCGAATCTCGCAAGAAGCCTCGCCAATAAAAAATCTGTCAAATGTTCACAACTGCCCATAGCTGTCTCCTTGATAGGCCACTGCGCTCCCCTTTACTCTCGTTACTTCAAACTTGTGATTTACCCTGACAGCTGGGACCTGACCAATGAGACCACTGGCAATGCGGTCGTCTTCCATTTTGATGTGTTATATCTCTCGATGAGAGACTGTGATTTAAGGCAGCGATTTCTTCAAGAGGCTAATAACTCTAGTTATGTCTTGGAGAAGTGTGTCATAAGATCTCTTTGGCTTCTTTTCAAAGCTCCTTGATATCCTCTAATATATTGCTAAGGAATCGCTCAGCGACTTCAGCCGTATCTGCGTCATCATTGACTGCTTGACTCTCTCTTGTTTGGGCATCCGGAAGAGTACCACTACAGATTTCCCGCTAGTCATCTCTGCAGTTTCGACTTCGAGATGCATCTCACTTACAAAAGCAAGTACTTGCGCTTTTGGCAGATCTCTCTGGGTTGTTAGAGGATGCCTTGGATATTTTACGGGGAAGCAAGGTGCCGTGGGATCAAATTGAAGACGACGATATCTCGGACGATGAACCTGACCCATTGGAAGATGCCGGTGAAGACGGCGAGTTTCCAACCACTGAACTAGAGCAAATCGCCTCCATCGTACCAGATACTGTCAATTGTCTTCTAAGGTTAAGCGTCGCTATAAGAAATCCGGCTCCTCACGATCGTTTTGCGGCATCCATTCCAATAGCTGTATCAGATTATGAGTTCTTCGATATTCAACATGTCCACGCGAAGTTTCCAAAAATAGACAGCCTCCTAGCTCGGAGGCTAGGAAATACAATTTCTAGGCGACGACAGTACTTCAGATATCGGGAAAGCCACCATTTGAAGCTTGCTCATGGCTTAGACCCCAAACAACCCAAAGATCAAGCAGATGGCGAAAGTACTATTGCAAGCTCAATACCGGATCACACTAAGAGTGCTGGCTTTGGTAATATATTGCCTGCGATAGATGAAGATGCTATCTCGGATGCAGGTATTTCACAAACATCGTTTGCATCTTCCTTTGCAGGCACAGAGAGACTTCGCATTCCACCTTTTCTCAAAGGCGCCGAAAGTGGTCCTTTTGAATGCCCTTTTTGTTACATGATTATCACAGCTACAAACAGAGCGTCATGGAAGTAAGTTAAGAACATCGAAATCTCTGCCCCCTTTCATGTAATACAATGGACGCTGACAACAGCCATGAAGGCGGCATGTATTTGCCAACCTCAAGCCATATGTCTGTCTCGCAGAGGATTGTACAGCAACAGAAAAGTGGTTTGCCAGAAGGCATGAATGGATTTTACACGAGATCCAAAGCCATTGGAAGTTATACGCATGTCCATACTCATGCAGCAAGATATTTCAGTCCCGATCTAAGTGCGTGGAACATGTTCAGAAAAGCCACTCTGATTTGACCCCAGAACATCAGCTTGAGGCTATGATAAATCTCAGTTCTAGACCTATTGAAACTGGAAATGGTGTGCTTTGCCCCATGTGCCAGGAGAGCCTTAACACGGTGGGAAAGTATCAGCGCCATGTCGGAAGACACCAAGAACAGCTTGCAATTTTCGCTCTTCCCTCTACGCAATTTCGAGATACTGAAGATGACCATGATAGCGACAAGAGCAGCCCTCATCGGAGCGATGTGGAATATGATAGTATTGATTCTGCCGATGATGGGGTACATTTAGAGAAGGTCAGTTTTGATGATGAAAATCCAACAAGAGAACGTTATCCAGGCATATCCAACCCCGATCCCGAAAATTATGATAGCGATAGTAAACGCCAACGTATCGATGAAAGAGGAATGGATGGCAATAATCCTATTCAAAGTGAACAGCTCTACTCTCAGTACAGCAGCGATGAAGAGAGCACTATATACCAACTTGATGATGCACGAAGCTCTCGCATAGACCGCAAGGCACTACCTCATCGCCCTGGCGCAACCAGCCAGTCCGGTGTCCACAGCCGCATTTATTCTCCGCTGCGTGGCCCATATGAGGATGCCCCGTATGAGCATATTCCATTTGAACCCTATGACTCTGAACACATTACTTATGAACACGCATCCTACGACCCATCTCTAGATCCTCACGATTATTCATGATTACGGCTACAGAAAAGTATGTACAATGAATAAATTGAATTTACGAAAGTACAATACACTTAACTGGGACCGCAACAATGCAGGCACATGGCGCAAGTGTATCATCTTTATACATCGAAGTTAGCGAGATCAATAAATGCCTCTCAAGTACCCTACCAATCCCTTTCACTGTTGAATCATTATACCAGGCATCTAAATGTGAAGACACCGCTGCCAACCCATCTAGGCAAGAGGGCACCAAAAATTTGGACCACGCAAGTACATGTAGCATCGTTGCTGCATCTGGCTTAACCGACGAATCCCTGGAACAAAATTATAAATCTCCTAGGGTCAATTTGAGAAGCAGCGAGATGCGTAGTTGTTAGAAGCAGCCAAACATACGCGTTGCCTTTGATAATCTGGAGCGGAATCTCACGAGCCAGTTACTTATAAGCATACGCCTTACGACCCTTCGCTTGCTACTAGTAACATTTAAATTAGCTGAAGTTGAACGCAAAAAAGGCGAAATCGCCACTTGTAGGAGTAAAGGAGGTAAGAAGCCTCAGACCCCTTTGCCTAAAAAACTGGCATATATCTCAGAAATTCCAGAATCTCTTCTCATCTTCCGTTCAAGAGAGGGCCTTAATCTCCTTCTAAACTCATGAAGGAATAGTCTAATCATACGAGATGCGTCCCATAGTCGCAAGTTCGGTATATCCCCTAAGGAGGCGAGGCACGTTCGCCTGGCGTCCTTCCTGTACAAATTGTCTAGCTTACCTAGTGGACGAAAACAATGAAACAAACATATATGTATCTTTACAAAGCGATCCTTGTGACGCATCCCGTCTCTCCCTCGTATACAATACCAGTTGTGTATATCACTACCAATGAACATTAGCCATTGTATGTTATTTTCTTTTTTTTGAGTTCCATTTAGATTTATAAATCGTACCTTCAATGTAGTATGTGGTAGATATTTGATAGCTAACAACTACTTCGTCAAAAATACAGATTTGTCTTCATGATGAATTCTGTGAGTGCCCCTCTATATTACATACCTATAAGACTAATAAGTCGACTTTCATAATCTTTTAGTTCCAACATATTCGCATATTGTGCACAAAAATACCAATATTTGACTCTCTTGGATGATCACTATAATTTGGTGCAAGCCGAAAGTCTGGACAATGGAGTTTTTTAGTACTTGTTTATCATGGAGTGATCGTTCAACTCTAGTCTGACATTAAATTGTTCAGAATCTCTATGTCCCCCCAATTAAGATGAAATGCGTTCCCTGTGTAAAGCAAAGAAGCGCCGCAATCTTTTTGTAGTCTACAATGCCTGAAGAGCTGTCGATCGAAGTTTGTCTGGAAAATCGGTTACTATTAACTTTTAGCATTGAGTATGTCTTAAAAATCAAGAAGATGATATCGCCAAGAGAGCTTTTAGTTGCTTTCCCATCTCTTGGAAGATACTGTGAAAGTAAGACACAATCCCCTTATCACTGTAACCCATATTCATTGTGACATTGCCTCCCAGTTGCTGCGCCAGTTGCTGCCGTAACTGAACAGGTCTGCAATAAATGGACCTGAAATGGCGTAATAAAGTTTTATGTTAGACTCGTCGCTCTCTCAGGCCTTTTCACGATCTCATATATTTAGCTACCCGCCGATAAGATGATTACGGGTGATTTGACGCCTCAGTCCTTCGGCGTCTGACGATAGGCGACTACCCCAGGCAATAAATTTTCTTAGCGACAGGTGATCCAGTTACAGAAGATTTGGTGGACCAAAAAAAATATGAGTTCTCTACGTTATCGATGGAGTCATGCCACGTATCATAATCCTCCACGGTAAAGAGCTTCCCCCCTGTACCAACGCCTTGAAGAACTCTCTTCTCCAAGCGAGTTACTCTTGTTTTTTTTTTTTTGGAGACCCTTGAACTGTTGTTCAAAGAAATCCCAAGCATTGCCGGAAAATATACATTAGTCTTCCGCGGCTTGATGGATACGATGGTTGGGAATATCTTTATGAAAAAGCAGAGCTAATATGCGCTGATAATTGTCATCAATTTTCTCAACTGTTTTGAGTATTTTGAACACATTATATACCCTTTCGTTTCGCGATACTTCACCATGTACTCTAATTCTGGGCGTGGCCGGAGGGGCCTGTCGACGTACTCCATGTAAAATTCTGGTGGCGGCATTCATATTCTTAGCTTTTAATGTTAGTAGCCAGCGATATTGTTGTCAAAAGGGCTTAAAATTGAAGTATAGGTTAATTGTGGGCATAAAGAACGTAAAGAATATTGACTGTGAATAGATACTAATCAGGTAGCAGTGGCTGCACAGCATGCATGTCTTCACCTTGGCGACAAAAAGATAGGTTTTCCAATATACATTTCTATTTTGCATGTAAGAAGCGGCATATCCTACATGGCCATGCTACAAATTGAGAAATTCCACTGACTTCAATTACAATGACTATATGGTCTGCATTTCAGTCTGGCAGCTTGGGTGGTTGTAAAGGGCTGCCATAATATTACCTTGCAGCCAAAACAATCATTGACATTGAACAAGCAGTTTTGCAGTACAAGAAAATCATTGGTGTTAAACCATTGACCTTTATTTATAACTACGAAGACCATCCAATATAGAAAATCGCTCCAAGACTCGGAAATGGAGGTTTTAGGTTGCTCAGTAGACAATGGGTGATGTCGGGTTACGACACTTATGTAATACCAGCAGCTCAGACAACTGCACCCGAGGCTTTCCACTTTTGGCTGGAGCTTTTGCATCCATCCCACTCTCTTCCGGCTTTTCGCGAATTCGGATCTTCTCCTCTCTTCCACCACATGGCGGGAGGTCGCAAGCCCAAGGTCGCGGCTCCAGCTCGCCCTCAGAACACGCTCGTCCTCGACAATGGCGCCTGGACGCTGAAGGCGGGCCTCGTTTGCGGCGGCTCCATCCCCGAGCCTCGCGTTATCCCAAACTGCATCGCGCGCGATCGCTCAAGGAAGATTTACGTTGCGTCGGAGCTCGACAAATGCCGCGACTTTAGCGAGATCCAGTTCCGGCGGCCCGTAGAGAAGGGCTATTTGGTCAACTGGGAGGCACAGAAGGAGATTTGGGACCAGGAGCTGTTTGGCGACAAGGCACAGTTCAAATGCGACCCCAGCGAGACCAGGCTGATGCTCACGGAGCAGCCAAATGCGCTGCCCGTGCTGCAGACGAACTGCGACCAGATTGTCTTTGAGGAGTATGGCTTCTCCAGCTACTACAGAGGCATTGGTATGTCGTCGTTGAGCAACCTAGCTGGCATGGATATGATCCCATACTAACTCGCATACGCTACCAGGGTCGACGTTCAATGCGTACCACGACCTGCAAAGCCTCTTCCGTACGCCCAAAGACGCCCTTACAGCTGCCAACACACCGGCTGAGATCATGCTGGTCGTCGATTCTGGCTTTTCGCACACAACAATCACTCCCCTCCTCGGCGGACGACCCCTCCACTCGGCCATCAGAAGAATCGACATTGGCGGCAAATTTCTAACAAATTACATGGCTCGCCTCATTTCCCTGCGCCATTTCGACATGCGTAACGACTTGTACATTGTCAACGAGATGAAGGAAGCGTCGTGCTACGTCTCTGCCGACTTCAAGAGCGATCTAGAACGTACATGGAAAGGAACCAGAGGAGAGAAGCGCGAGGATTACGTATCCGGAGCTGGGATCGTCAAAGATTACGTTCTGCCAGATTTCCACACTAGGCATAAAGGCATCCTCCGTGAATACGATCCCGCCCAGCATGCAAAATCCAGAAAGCTTGCCGCAACAGGACACTCGGAAGAGGACGTTTTGACACTACGTAACGAACGCTTCACCGTCCCGGAACTAATCTTCCGCCCGTCGGATGTAGGTATGCGACAGCCCGGTCTTGCAGACGCCATTCAGCAATCTCTACACGAGCTACCGATTGGACTTTGGCCCGGCCTCCTCGCCAACATTGTTGTGGTCGGCGGAAGCTCTCTGTTTGACGGGTTTATTCAGCGGCTGCAGAAGGAGCTCGTGCAGCTTGTCCCCGATGACTGCATCGTCCGCGTTGCACGCCCTGCAGATCCCATCACCAACACATGGTACGGAGCGGCCAACATGGCAAATCACCCAAATATAGAGAAAGTGGTCGTCACGAAGCAAGAGTACGAAGAAAACGGCAGTGCATGGATAGCCCGCAAATTCTCAACAGGTCTCTTGACTCCCTGAACAAGGGCAAAGCCTTGGACGTTTCATTGACACCCTGCAGCGTCTCTGTTGCCTAGTGTTTAATTTTCTGAGCCGCCCAAATGTGAAATGAGGCGGCCTGGGCGCCGGATAGGCTGTCACGACTACTCACTATGATCGGATATGAACGCGGATGTGTGTCTGGACACGCCGAGAAAAGAGAAAGCAGAACGAGTTGGAGTAATTGGCTGTTACATATAGCAAGACATTACCACGACGGCAACGAATTTCCCACGTCTTGGCATACAATATCAGAGGATGTTTATACGCCACAGCGGAGCTTTCGGTTGAACCAAATGCAAGGAAATTCCGCCAAGCAGACGAATTATCACTGTCTCGGGGAACGTTAAACTGCTACATGTACAGCAAGACGCTTAGATTACGCCGAGACGCGCGTCATGTCATCCATGCAGTCGCACTGCAGCAAAACCAAGACACTGAACTTATGCAACGAGAAGAGAGGGGTTTGCGGGGAGAGGCTACAGTCAGTCAATTGATTTGATTTCAGAGCCTAGGCTAAGTATACTCAAATAACAAGCCATCCAGTCAGGTCTCATCTGGCTGATTTCCCCATCAAATCACTCAAAGCGGAGTATCAATTACGTCTATCGCGCTTAAAAAAAAAAGAGAAAAAAACTTTCGATACAGCTCGTACTTCGCACTTCTCGGCATGCTTCGGTGTTTCGGCATCCTCTAGTTTATATGCATCGCGCTTATCACTGGGTATTATCGAGCTAGATTGAGTGTGGATGAAGGTGGCTTGATGCAAAGTTGAAAGGAGATTCGCTCATCATACTCCATACGCCGTCATGAGTTGGGAGTTTTATGCCCGAACTGTTCAAGGGGAGAGGTTCCATTCATTGGTGGGACAAATTAGAGGAAGAAGAGATTCTTTGTCGATCAAAGACGACCTAGGCCTCGGCCTCGAGACACACACCCTACATCAATAGTTAGCACTTGCACTCTAGCTTAGAATTCAAGTCAAAGGGAGGTGAGCATTACAGTCGCACTATCATCTGATGCGTTAGCAATCGGTGAATTCGTTTACCATTTTGGCGTGATACTTACGTGGTTCATTGAACATCCTTCGTTGTGTGTGGTACAATAGCCAGCGCAGCATTTCTTGCATACTCGCTGGGTACGATAAATGCAGTCATCGCACTATGTTTTGATCACCATATCAGTTCTCTGGTAGAGTAATAACCACGAATGAAGCAGGAATAATACTCACGTTGTTGCCGCATTCCCAGCAGCTCTTAGATACTCGTGGCTACGCATTAAACTGTCAGCGGAACGTTCTCCATGAATAATGCACTGTAACGATGCCTCTTTTGACGCTGTAGCAGCTGCTACAGCGTCAAAGGAGGCTAGAGTTGGAACAAACGCTGCGTACAAATTCGAGAGGTCTGTTTTCGAGACTGGCCTGATCGGCTGGTCCAACCCATCCCGGCTCGTCNTTCAAGGGCCATTTGTCTCCTCCTCCTGGGCTCGAGCGAGTGTACATGGGTGACAGAGACCGTTTCGTACCTTGACTTTCATAGTCGGAGCTTCAAGATCCAAATCGCCAAAGTCATTGACCGTATCGTCGTCAACGATGGCGATTTGTGTTGCATAATGGCCTCCTGAAATCTGGCCGGGAAACTCATAGCATGATTCACACCACCATTTATTGCAGCATGTGCAGTACCGCTCGCGGATGCAATCCATACATCTGGGCACAAATGAAGTCTCTTGGTCTTTGGGCGTAGTTGCCGCCCGAAAGGATGAAGAGAGAAGAGGCAACGGAGCCAGCAGCGGCAAGCTGGCATCTGGGCTAATACCGTTCGGATAAGTGAAGCCTTCGGGGGCTTTGTGGCAATTCTCACAGCCTGACAGGGCATATGTAGCCACGGCGGGAGCGCTGTCAGCATCGGATCCGCCCTTAAAGACGGGCGAGTTGCGATGGCGCGGGCCTTGGCAAAGCACAGCATCGAAGGCGATGATGCCTCGACAAGCAAGCATGCAGTTGGCCCACTCCTGACTGACAGGTCGAGGGATGATGCGGCCTTTCTTGGACCACCAAGCGTCTCCCTCCTGCTTCAAAGAAGATGCCAGAGCAGTTTGGCTCTTCTTATTCCACTCCGTGCTAATAGACGATGCGGATGGGCCGGACGGCTTCGCCGCAGCCAAGACGTCCTTTGAACCGAAGACGTAGAGCGCCTTGAGCTTGGGAGAGCCTGCTCGCCGAGTTGAACGACAAGCATACTGCAGTGCCTGGCGAAGTTTGGCCTGGTTCAGGTTCTTGACATCCCGGATAGATAAAACGCGGACATTGAAGGCCGCATCGTTGATAATCTCATGGCAGAGTTCCGAAGTCACGGAAAGCCCGTCGAGAACTAGAGTCTGGACATTTTCCAGAATGTGCTGTCGTCTAAGGGTCGACAAGATGCCCCTCAGCGGGCCAGAGTAGAAGCTGCGGTAAAAGTGAGCTTAGGATCGTACGACATTGATGACGATGCAGGGGCTTTGCTCTTTGCACTCACTCATCTTCAGTGACGTTTTCATCTAGTTGGACATTGCGCCAGACCTCGCCTCCATGGTCGATCTTGTCAATCTCAAACTTGAGAGCCTTGATGTGAGTAAGATCAAGATGGCGAAACACTCCCGGGGTGCCAAAGAGGAGGGCTCGGAAAGCTCGGTTCGTGGCAGCTAGGCTTAAGATGCTCGAGATGGACAAGTAGGGAATAACGTGGCTTAGGACAAGGGAGTTGTGGATGGTGTCATAGAGGGAAGTGGTTGGTTCCTCTGTCACCGTCGAGGCCAGTAGTTGGAGCTCTTCGCGCGTTGGGTCGTTGAAGGTAGCTAAGCTCATGTCAGGCTACCAGACCTCGCAGCACAAGAGACTTCGCGGGCGATGGGAGAACGTCGCAGGCGAGGTAGGAAAGATATGCGTGAGCTCGTAATGGCTAAATTGAACCACGACGAGGAAATATAGATGAAGAAAAACAAAACAATACAGCTTTTTGAGGATGCAGATGAGAAGGTGGGGGTGAGTTTTGGGGAAAGCCTTCCGTGTACTTCAAGTAGCAGCACTGTAAGGCAGATGGCAGCTGGAATAGCTTTCAGACACAGTGGGATCTAGAAATCAGCGCTCAACGCTTTATTCTAGAAAGCATGTATGTCAATGGATTAGAGAAAGATGAAGGATGCTGAGAGTGAGCACAGCATGAGGGTTGGGAGCTGTGATATAGGTAGGCAATAGACAGCCGTCTGTAATACGATTGGCGGATTGCCCGAAATGGATGCCCTACCTAATAAGCTACAAGTAATAGCTATTACTACCTCCTCACCTTGCTTAGATGGCGCCTGTACGCTGCGGGCACACGTGTTATACGCCGGTACAACCTTGTTTATAAGCAGTAAGACAGCTCTCAGATTACACGTCGCTGGGAACCAGAACCGCCAGTCAGAGCAGAGCGGGCTACTTGCTCGTGCGTTGCTGGCGCGCATAGAGCAAGACGTGGCCGAAGCTTGCTGTATGGAACCGTCTGAATGGGAGCGCGAGAGGGCTGCCACATAGAGTATAGAGCTAGCTTGGCTAAGACAGGGCCATCTTGGACTAAAACAGCACTTTCTCCTTATCAGGTTATGGTGGCCAATCCAGATGCAACGGGAGATTGGGGGCGCCGGATGGCCAGATGGGGGGCCAGCTGTATGTGCTTCTGGCGGGTAGCTCGTGCGCTGAGCTCCTAATTTCCCAGCAGCGCCAGCGGCGGCTGTATGATGGTTCGATCGGTTGATGGGTGCTGCAACGAACCGGCTCGACTAGACCAGGCGAGGCCAGGTGAGCCCAAGGGGAGAAGCGCCGAGCACCGAAGCCTCCACCAAACCAGGCCCTTCCTACGGATATGGATCGGCTGAGATGGAGGGTTTGTTTGTGGCGAATGGGCGGCCAAGACGTAATGCGTTTATGTAGCACATCTGGTCGGTATGTAACGTCCCTAGAGATTCGTCATTTGCAGTGCCATGATCTGGCTGGGCATCTAGCGGGCGAGTCAGGGCGGGCAATGATTAGCAGCAGCTTGGAGGTTGGTCCGCAGCTCTCATCGTCCCAACGGCTGCCACCCCAATATCTGAAATCCTGCCTCCCTATTCACTGAGGATCACTGTTGAGGCGGCCGCAGGCCGAATCTGGCGACATGGAGTGCGGGGGACCACCACCTCAGTAAGAGACAGACAAGCGAAGGGCGTTTGTTCGTCGCATTGTTGATTCACTCCAAATTCCAAAATCCTATACTCGGCACCATGACCTCGAGTACACAAGCACTTGCTATTGATTCGCCCACCTACTCATATCATAAAATGTTGCTGCCTTGACTAGGTGCTATTCCATTCTTGATTTTTTTAGGCGCCCCTCTTAACGCCTCTTTCGTTTCATTCAGGGTCTTTATGTGCCGGAAGTGCGGAGCCCTGCCGCTCACCGTCCGGACTGATGAGCAAGATCGCTCGGCGTGGGGGAGAGCTCTTGATTTGGCCGTATCGCGGCTGAATAGTGAGTGGTGCTATTTGCGGGGGCATCGTGGCCCTTCTGTGGCATAACAGAGCTCCCATAACTTTTTTCCCCTCTCTGTTTTCTAATCAACTTTACCTGGTTGCGCTTGTGTATGCAATAATCAGTGCCTCCTGTACTGAAAGCAACTCCAAATTTGGTCGTTACCCAGATAATAAGCCCATGATGGGAAGGAATTCGATTCAACGAAGGGGATGCCAGGCAGTACACGTGATCTAGCACGTGTAGCCTATCTTATCAAAAGGCGCCAAGAACTCTCCCTGCATCTGTGCAACGCCATGGAAATTGGCGGAATGCTGACTTATCGCCATTGCCCCTCTAGGCGTTTCTGGCCGCGTCTTCAGCTGTCGCCTCGTGATGGCGTACAAGTAATGCTGGCCTTCAATTTTTAATCTTTAGAATCGCGATAGCTATGAACCGGAAGCTATTTGTATTGATCGACTTCTGTGCAATTCTGTAGCTCTTTGCCCTCGTCTTCCTCCTGCAATCCACCTACCATCTATACCTTGTTGCATAGCGAAAAAGCTGCCTTTGGGCGCCGTATAAGACCGAATAGGCAGCACCATGGACGAGCCAATCTCTCTCCGGTGGTCAGACACGTTCGCCATCCTCCCTCACTCCGATCCGAGCTGCAGCAAGCTCCCGGGAGACAAGATCATTCTCCCTCCGTCTGCCCTTCAACAGCTGCTCTCGGCTGCGTCTTCTCGGGCAGCACCGTCTGGCAGCAACGGCTACTTCGGCTCCAGCCACTTTAGCACTCCAGTATACGGACAGGAAACTCAACAGCTCCCTAACCCTTTGATATTCCGACTTGTTAATCCGAAAAATCATAATGTGGTGTATGCTGGAATCAGAGAATTTTCGGCTCCCGAGGGGACCATGGGCTTGAGTTCATTGCTCCTCGAGGCTCTTGCCATTGGACCCGATGATTACGTATCGTTGAGCTCTGATAATGCTGAGGTTGAAGATGCTGAGGATTCCACAAACCAAAATGCCGTCCCCAAGGGCGGCCGGATAACAGTACATGCTGAACAACTTCAAAAAGGAACGTACGTGCGACTGCGACCTCTCGAAGCTGGATATAACCCGGACGATTGGAAGCCATTGCTAGAACGCCAGCTCCGGCAAAACTTTACAACATTGACAAAGAACACAGTCATTCCTGTTCAGGGCTCACAGGGAGAAAGCTTCAAGCTGCTCGTGGATAAGTTTGCGCCTGATGGTGACGGTGTCTGTGTGATTGATACGGATCTGGAGGTTGATATTGAGGCGCTGAACGAAGAGCAAGCCAGAGAGACAATGCGCCAAATCATGGCACAGGGACAATCGGGCTCCTCTGGCAGTTCCAAGGGTGGCGATTTGGACATCTGGAAAGATGTTGAAGGTCGGGTGGTGCCCGGCGAATACGTCGACTATACGCTTCCGTCTTGGGACCGATCACAAGATTTAGTCGTCACTCTAAGTGGCATATCTGATGCGGACAGCTTAGATCTTTTCATCACACCGAAATCGCGACAACAGAGGGCATTGCCTCGAGAAGCTGTCCATGTCTTTGGAGATTTTTCACCTGCTCAGTACGGTGTCAAATCCATTACGATATCGCCAACCAATATCGAGCTCGAGGATGCGGAGAGTCTACTCATTTCTGTCCACGGTTATCAAGATCCCGACTCGGGCGTAAAATCGACAACGCCAGTTGCCTACACTATCCGGGCAAAGGTTGCTCCCTTGGAAGGAATTATAAGCGAGGCACCCATGGAACTTGACAAAGAAGAACATTCCGCGGATGAAGAGCAATGTACAAACTGTTTACAGTGGGTCCCCAAGCGAACTATGGTTCTACACCAGAATTTCTGTTTGAGAAACAATATTCTCTGCCCCGTCTGCAAGTCGGTATTCAAAAAAGGTTCGCCCGAGTATGAGGCCCACTGGCACTGCGATCATGATGAGGCTCATGGAGATTCGCCCCTGAGCAAAGCCAAGCACGATAGGCTGTTTCACACGGATTACAACTGCCCGTCTTGTGAATTTTCGACCAACTCGCTCTCAGATCTAGCACGTCACCGCACAACCGTGTGCCCTGGCAAGATTATCCTCTGTCGATTTTGCCATCTTGAAGTTCCTCAAGAAGGAGACCCCTTTAACCCGTCACCCGAGGTTGTGCTTTCAGGAATGACAGCCCATGAATTGGCGGACGGTGCTCGTACTACCGAGTGCCATCTATGTGATAAGATCATTCGCCTACGAGACATGGAAACTCACCTGAAGCACCATGAACTCGACAAGGCGGTCCGATCGAAGCCCATTGTCTGTCGAAATGTCAATTGTGGACGAACGCTGTACGGCATTGGGCAAAGGGGCCAGATTGGCACTCCGAGCTCACCCGTCAGAGGCCCAGCAAACGACATTGGTCTCTGCTCAATATGCTTTGGGCCCCTGTATGTCAGCATGCATGATCCGGAAGGAAAGTCTCTACGGCGAAGAATAGAGAGGCGATACCTCAGTCAACTGATTACGGGATGTGGGAAAGCGCACTGCACCAACGAATGGTGCAAAACTGGGCGAGTGAATTCTGGACTTGAGCCCAAACGGTCATCCGCCGCAGCAGTACTCCCTATCGTTAAGCCCCTTTTACCTGGGGCACTCAATCCGTCGGAGCCAGCATATCTCTGTGTTGACGAAACGAGTCAGACCAGCCGCAAACTGGCAGAGCTTGTGGCTGCTGAAAAGGGTTGGGATCTGGAATGGTGCGTTGCCGCTGCTGAAGGCGAAAGGGCAGATATTGATAGGATGAGAGATTGGCTGCAATCATGGGCACCGAGAAGATGACTCGGCAGTGGGATAATGAAATGATGAACAATTGTTGCATGGGATTGCATTGCATTACATTACATTGCATTGTATTGCGTTGATCAAAGATAGATACCCTGAGGATGTTGGAGCTCTACACTTGAGACGAAGAATGAGACAGTTACCTAATTATGAACAGCATATATAGACTCGCCATAGAATTATAGCATTTTCATTCTCCTTTTGAAACATATAAGCCTTGAACAATCGGTTTTTACACACATCTACAGCTAGTGAGAATCAGCCAATCTCTTGACGGGCTAAATGCTTCCCACGGCCGGGCCGGAAGCTAGGGGCACTATTTCACATGCGTGCCCTGATGATGACGTTAACTCGCAGGGCGTGCCGATCAATGATCTCACCATGAGCGACCACCTTTCCTTACGAGGCAATTCAATAAATGGTAACAACTTGAAGTCTTCCTTGTGAAACTACTTTTGCAAAGGCTGTTATTTCCATATACAACAGGGACAAAATAAAGCAGACAAGCAAGAAAAGCCAAGGTGCACTACACCGCCAGATACCGGATAATAGTGCGCGCGCAGCAGCCGGAAGGATTGCGGGCTAACGGTTTTGTGCATTTGCTGGATGAGGCTTGACTGAGACCAAAAGTCCGGTTCCGGCAGTGACAGGGTTCAGTGAAAATTCAAGAAGCAGCAGCGTAAGGCATGGATGGCTGGCTAGCTGTTGGATAGATTGTTGAGTAAAAGGATAATACAACCCAATCCAGTGGTGAGCAATAAGCAGCCCGGGGATTACAATTAACAAGCCCATCATCGTTGCGCGTAACAATTAAATACCAGTAGTAGGTACTGTACATGGCTTTGCTGCGGTCTTTTAACACTAAGGCACGTACGCGTACGAGTGGACTGAATCCGGCTGTCCCGAAAGTAGCTTTTCGCAGCGCGGTACCTCTGGGGCTGCTGACTGGATTATTCTATAAAGACCTGGATTGCATCTTGGGAGAGCCAGTGCAGTACTATGTATTTATAATATTTGACTGTCGGTGAGGAATGGCTGATGATAGGCAGGGCTAGAAAATCAAGTGCACAGTTTTTTTGTTTGTGAAATGGTAAGGCTGAAAGAACCTTGTTGGCACATGTGTAGCTGCATGTTTCAGGTACCGTCGGCTCAACCGTATTCAGCGCAAGCCAGTTGGCATACAGCGTGTGAAGGCTGTTTGTTGGTGGCGTGCTGGGCTTCCTTTGCTGAGACTGAGGCACCAAAAGAATGCCACAGCAGCCATGGCGGGGAGCGAGAAGAGATGGGGGCATGCTGTAGCCATGAGCACACGCACACAGCTCTCCCCATCACGATGCCTGGTGTTATCGCATGAGCAGCTGCTGCATGCAATAAGAGGCCTCCTATATGCAGGAGAGTATTCTATAATTGGCGCAGTTTACATAATGTTGTTTACATAGTACATACGTCCAAGTATACCTGGTCGTGTGCTGCATGGGCTACAACATAATGGCTCTCACAAGCGCTTCTGCTGCACGAGTAGTCTACGTCAAGAGGTACTTGGTATACTGCGTCGACTGCACGACTGTACGACTGCTATTTCTGCTGATTACATGTCAATGTTGATATTCGACTTCAGTCATTGCCCCCTCAGAATCAAAATGATGTAAGCTTCTAGATACAAGATAGCTCTTTTATATCTAGTGTCGTATTGTCGTATTGGCGGTTGTTGAGCAGCTCCGGACTCCGGGATTTGTACCTCCCCTGGCTGGGGTACTTTGGCGTTTGTTGGCGCAGCCCGGAGCTCTCCATCTTCTGCGTCTTTCAGAAGGTGGGGGAGCAGCAATTCTGCCCAGGCTGACCGCGGCCGATAGAATCACCTCCAAGCAGTGGCTTTGTGCGTTTGTCGTCCCGCTTTCAACAACAACAACAGCCCCAAAGCAGCATCGCATTCGCATCCGCACATCGTTAACCTCGTCTCCCTCTACACCAGTCTCTCCCTCCCCTTTCTCCTCTTCATCCACGCTTCAACGCCCATCCGCAGCTGCTGCTCCTCCAGTGCCCGCCCGCTTTTGCGCATTGCGCTATCGCCAAAGCCAATATCCATCCGGCCCCGCTACTGGCTGGTCGGATCGAGTTACTGCTACGAGCCGCGAGCTGCTCCTCGCCACCGGCATCTTTCGAAAGTTCGCCCCAGCACCGCGCCCGACAAATCTCTGGCTGCAGCGAGGCTCTGGCTGCCTGTCACGGGCGTCAATTCCGAAGAAACCACTATGCAACATCTGCCCTGTGCAGCAGTTTGAAGTAGCTGAAGTCGCTCCTGTTGCTTGTGTGGCGGATCGCAAGGAAGCTGAGGCCTGGTGCTAGCCGCTCAGCTACTCCTCTTCGTGCCACTGTTTGCACTCCCAGCCATCGAGCGCCGTCTTCTCGCGCATGCTTCCTGGGCATCTCTGCACCAGCTGTTGCGAATAGGGTGCATCCAGTCCGGGTAGACGACTTGAGGCTGGACAAGGCTTGGCTTGCAGTCGACTCGACGATAGGTCGTTACCTGACTGTTCCCCGAACGCTGTCCCGCTTCGGAAACCCATTTCCCATCCACAGTACTATCTGAGTCCTTTGCTGCTTTTTCTTTACGCCTTCTTTTTCTATCCTCTTTTTCCTCACATTTTTAGCGCATACTTATTCACAATGGGTAACACCAACACGAAAGAGTCTCGCTCCGATTATCCCGAGGGCCTCTCCGATGGCCGGGAGCGACGCTTTGATATGGGAGACTCCCGCGGCATCTTGGGTGATCCACGCCTTCAGCTCGGAAGGACTGAGCGTAGCTTTCTGAGCATAGGAAATGGCTCTTCGTCTCGAAATAGAGACCGACCAGATGCCCCGTTCGAGCATCGCGAGACAAAGCAAGAACGAGAAGCCCGGAAGCTTGAGCGCGAGCGAGTCCTACGAGCCCAAGAGCGTGAACGGAGTATACGAGAAGAACATGTTGACGGAGGATATCTCGTCACCATGGGGACGTATGTAGGGACTGAGGATTTCAACAAAGCTGTTGTCAGACAGCTGCAGGTGCGTTTGCTGCTACTCAAGGTCGACGTTGTCACTGGCATCTAACTGGGAAGAACTAGGTTGAGCGAAAGCTGGCACCCTTCTGGCGTGGCCTTAATGACTGGTCCTCTAGCTGGGCTGAACACCAGCTCATCGCAGTCGCTCGTGGTCTGCCTCTCCCGGCGGCCGATGCGCCTCCTGATCCTGAATTGTTGCCTCGACCGCCGCCGCCGTCAAGTGACTTCCTCGCAGGGCCCAGCCTTAGCAATCTGACGGTAGAGATGGGACCCAGGACGCTCTCAACTGCCTCAGATGTTAGCGGCTCAGGCACGAATTCTGCGTTACCGTCTCCATCGACGGCCGGGCCCTTGAAGGGCTCCATTAAGCCAAGGGCGAGAGCATTAGCTGCTGCTTTAAGTGTAGGCTCTCGCAATGCATCATCCACTGACTTGGGCCCCAAGGAGATCAATCTTCCCCATGATCCGTTTGTTAACGGCCAGCCGCTCGAGGTTTATCTTTACAAAGATGCAGACGAATGCCCCATTTGTTTCTTGACCTACCCCCCTTACCTCAACCGTACCAGATGCTGTGACCAGCCAATTTGCAGTGAATGCTTTGTCCAAATCAAGCGATCCGATCCTCATCTTCCCGAACATCACCCTGACGGTCAAGCACGGGATCCAAATGAGGGTCTTTCTGCGGAGGACTCCCCAGATATGCTGATATCAGAGCCTTCTGCTTGTCCCTACTGCCAAGTACCCGAGTTTGGCGTTACATACGAACCACCTCCCTTTCGGCGCGGCTTGGCCATTGCACCAACAGCGTCTTCCACCGCCGCCTCAAATACCGCCATGTCTTCTCAAAGCTCCCTTAGCTCTACGTTGGTACCGGGTACTGCGACGACCGGGCGGAGAAGGGCGCATAGTTTGTCCGTCAACGCACCCAACGTCATCACTACTGATCGCATCCGACCGGACTGGGCTACGAAGCTGGCCGCGGCTCGTGCGCATCAGGCACGTCGTGCTGCAGCGGCCACTGCTCTCCACACCGCAGCCTTTTTGATAGGAGGCAATGAGTCTCGGTCAAGAATACGCACGGGCAGGTTTGGCAGGAGAAACACGGGGAGCAGCGGCGGCACAACCACTCCCGGAGGAGGACAAAGCGCGGGCGGAACCGATGCGCCAGAGGGCCAGGATCCTGCTGAAAGAACCCCGAGCCGGAATCCAGATGGCACTCGTCGTTCTAGAATGGAGGAACTTGAGGATATGATGCTTAGGGAAGCCGTTCGATTGTCTCTTGCCACCGAAGAAGAACGAAAACGCAAGGTAGAAAAGGCACTTCAAAAGGAAGCCAAGAAGCGAGAAAAGGAGCGTGAAAAGGCGGAGCGAAAAGCTCTCAAGAAGCAGGGCAAAGATCCTTATGGGGGCGGCCTGAGCGGAGCCAGTGGAAGCAGTCTCTCCTTGGGTCTGGGCCGTAAGCGAGGCAACAGTGCAGCCAGTAATCTCAGACTGGAGGCAGCAATGCAAGCGGCATCGCAATCATCCAGAGGACCAGATGCTCCGGATCACGATAAGAAAGCAGAAAGCGCCGGCGACAAGGGAAAGGGGGTTGATCGTGGCCCGCAGCCTCAATCTGGAGCAACGGAAGCGACTTCATCAACCTCGCTTCCTATTCCTGCCTCAAGCCCTCGGGGAGGGTCGCATCTAAGGCATATGAGCAACGCATCATCAATTGGTTCTTCGTCAGCGGATAGTCCTTCGGGAAGTTACCCTGGGCAGGGACTCGCCGGTGCGGATGCCAATGCTACTAAGAGACAAAGCATGGGCAATCGCAGCGACAGTGGTGACGGTGAGACGGAGAGCGAGCCCATGCTAAATTTCCGGAGCTTGGCTGAAATTGTTGGCGTCAACATTGATGATGGCTCTGTCATTAACCAGACAGAGACGGCTGAGGGCATGACCAGTTCACTTCCCCAGGTTGAAGAAGAAAAGGAGGAGACTGGCGCTGAGCATATAGAGCGAAGCCTTAGGGTTGAAACTTCCGACATGAGCAAGGAGTCTACTTCTAATGCTAGCGAGGCAGCGAACAGCTCACGAAACATACCCCCGTTCCTCGACACGCCAGAGTTGACAATTACTCCCGACACTCCCACAGTCGAAGATGGTGCTGAAGATAAGCAGCTTGGGCAATCTAGTGTGCTTGAACATGAGACTACTCAGACCACGCATTAAGGAGTGAAGGGGACTTGAACGGTATAATAATACTGTGGAGCAGTTGGAGTATGGGGGCAGGGGGGGTTCCATTCGTTTGATCAATTTTGATATGGAGTTGATGGTAGCTTTATGAGCCAGGACGGCAGCGTTGAATGGACTTGCCGGTTGGACTTTTGACGTGTAGTATAGGTATATAGTGTGTATGGTGTATGCATTTAGCGATTGTGGGACGATGTGCTATGAATTAGATTAGCATCACAAGATGAATACTGAACAGCGGTCTTTTTTTCTTTTTCTTAGCTTGAGAAAAGAATGAAAATTTCGTAGTTGTTTCGTGTCAGTGTCATCGGAGCGCCAGTTATGAACGCGTTTCTCTTAAAGAGTCAAGTAGCTATACAATCTAGCCCGTCCTGGCGCGCGAGATTATTTCCAATTTTGGAAAGGATTATGGAATACGAGTCTTGAACAGAGCGTGAGGCGTCGTAATGTTCTCTGGAAGTATTATTTGCAAGGGTGGCTTGTATTCTGTATGACCGACTTTTGAAAGAAATATATATAGCGAGGTGAAGATACGAAGCAGCAAAGAAAGTTTGGCACAGCAGCATTCAACAGCACACAACTTCTCTCACTTTAATAGCACACAGCTTTTCACTTTGCAGATTTGATACCGGGGCATCATCCTATTTACTAGAACCACTTTAAAATATTCAGAGTTGACTTTAGCTATGGCTTCAAAATATGTGATCGTTGACATTGTGGGAAGCATACCTCTGCTAGGGAAATGGAGAGAATGGCTTGGTTGGCTGAATGCGATGATAAGCCTGCAGTGGTGGAATTCAGTTGCTGGAGGCAGACAAGAAAAGGAGGCGCAAAAAGAGTGAATGTGGGGGACGGGAAGTGGCTTGGGGTGGTAAATATGTTCATTGCTGGTTGATATGCTACTGTGAAAAAAAAATAAGTCTACTATCTAAGTTTTTATACGCTGTCCTACATCTTATACCTAACAGAGATTGCGCTACCTATTTGATATCTTATGCCTTCTTAATCTCCTTTTGGAACTTTCCTGTCCAATCTGTAAACTCATCTCTTGAGCCATCCCAGCTCTCGCTCAGCAGCTCGCTGATGGCAAACGCATCGAGGAAGCACTGGTCCATGGCGTCGTCAATCTCCTTAGGCTGCAGCTCGTAAAAGGAACAGGCAAGGTCTCCGAAGCTATCGGGGAGTTTCTGCAGCAGGGGGGCAAGTTCGTTTAATCGCTGTGTTGTCGTGCTGCTGCTGGTGTCGCTCTGTGGGAAAGAAGGGAGTTTCTTCATGCGGCGCTTGGTGATGGCTGTGTACAGGAGGATGACGAGGCGGAGACGGCGGAGGGATGATTCGAGGCGAGGACGGATACCGTCTGGGTCGGAGGCGGGGATGCTGTGGTGCGAGCTCATGAGATCGTCGAGCATATTTTGGGCTGAGATGTGGGTTGATTCGACTTGATCTGCAAGATCATCCACCTCGTCGGCAGCATCGTCGTCGTCTTCTTCATCTTCTTCGTCGGTCTCTTCGTCTCCCCATTCCTTGATCTCTTCCATGATATCACTGAGAGTATCCTTCCACTCGGTCATCTTCTCCACGAAGAATCCGCTAACGCTGCCATTGGCAAGACTAACAAGACTGTCGCAGGCAGACCAGAGAACGCCAGTCGATGCGATGCTGCCCTTTCCCCCAGCGCCGAACCCTTCCTTCTCCTTTGACAAGACTTTACCATCCTTGGGTATTCTTACTAGGAGTTCGGCCAGCCCTGACAACACGTTTTGGCATCTTGACGCCATCTCACGCCGAAAGGCCAGAGTGTAGATATTTGGATCGCATGCTTGGACGGATGCCGCAAGACCAGGTATAGGGCCCTTGACTAGCTCACGGATGACAGACGAGACTGCTGTGGGGGTGAAGGGCTCGTTTATTATGAGCAGAGAGACTTTGGTGGCATGGGCCCTGATCAGGGTCGCTGAGTCGCGGGCGAGGGCGAGAGCATCGAGTGGCGTTGTTGAGGCTGAAGAGGTAGCTGGTGTTGAGGCATGGTCTGGATTGTTTCGAATTTCGCCGAGGACCTCTCGGAGCTGCTTCAAGAGAGTTCCTGCCGTTTCAATGAGGGTTTCGAGGCTCTGAAGAGCCGTGGCATCGGGTGCAGGGGCCATCGTTGCTAGAGAATAAAAGAGCGTGGTGGTTTTGTATACTAATTAGAAGCTGTAATAACAAAATGAGGCTGAATGACTTGTATATTTTTTTTTCCTTTCCGGTTGGAGGGCTTAGAGGGGTACTTTTTTCCTGGTACCCCGCGATGTGGGGAGCGACCACCTTATCTTAGTGTGCCGGAGCTTTGCCGGATTATAGCTAGGCCAAAGCCCGCCGAACCAGTGGAGTGGAGAGAGCTGCCACTTTGTCTACTTGGAGTTGGCGACAGCTTGAGCTTGGGCTTCTCTTCCAAGTCATCTTCGTCTCGACATTGCCCCAATTCCCCCCGCCATTTGCCCGCGATGCAGCACCCAAAGTCGTTGGCTCTCTTGGGTGCCGTGTGCTCCTTCACGGTGGCTGCTGCTGGCAGCGTGCCACGTGGAGTTGGACCCGAGTGTAAGTTTGAGCCAGCCCTCGTGTTATCCGTGCTATGTTGCAACTATTAGCTAGCTGGCCCATTGTTGTCACTGGCCCAATTGGAGTCCGATTGCTAATATGTAAACGCCAATGGCATCTAGTCGTCTCCTATTACCAGGATAAGGATGTATTTACTTGCATCTCCAACCCGTCCATCAAAATCAGCCTAGATCGTGTCAACGACCACTCCTGCGACTGTCCAGATGGCTCAGACGAACCCGGCACCGCAGCCTGTGCCTTCATCGACCCTCTTTCCCCTGAACAGCCCCTGATTGGCAGCCCGTCTGGGACTACAAATGCCACTCAGTCCTTGCCTGGATTCTGGTGTGCCAACAAGGGTCACATTGGAGCCTACATTCCATTCTCCTACGTCAATGACGGCATCTGCGATTACGATGTCTGCTGCGATGGATCAGAAGAGTATGGACATGTCAATGGCGTCAAGTGCAACGACCGCTGTGCGGAGATTGGCAAAGAATACCGAAAGCTCGCTGAAGCTAGAAGGAAAAGCGTTGAAAAGGCCAGCGTGATAAAGCAGCAAATGCTTAAGGAGGCAAAGCAGCTCCGTCAGGAGGTCGAGCGTCGCGTTACAATACTAGAGCAGGATAAAAAGAACATTGAAGCTAGAAAGGCAGATCTGGAACAGAAATATGCCGAAGCTCTGAAGGAAGACAGCAACAGGGTTGTTAAGAGCGAAGGCGCTGGCGGCAAGCTTGGTGTCTTGGTTGGCCTTGCTAAAGATAGGGTTGAGGAGCTGCGAGAAGCTCTCAGACTGGTTACAGAAGATCGCGAAGCCCTGCGTGCCAAGAAGAACGAGCTCGAGGCCATTCTCAAGCAGTTCAAGGAAGACTACAACCCCAACTTCAACGACGAAGGAGTCAAGGCCGCCGTTAGATCATGGGAAGACTACGCGGCCCGTGAAGCTTCGTCTGACCAGTCCGAGTTCCATGAGTCTGACATCAACGAGATTCTTCAAGAGGATGACGAGACCAATGGAGTAAACTGGAAAGCATTCGATGAGTTTGGCGAGGACACAGACGTCCGTAAGTACTTTCAGCTTATCCCTGTTGCTGTTTTCTATCTTTATAAAAGTTTTATTGCTCTGCGTTTTGCTAACTCTGAGAGCCGCTTCGGTCAAAGTATACAACTTCAATGCTTACCTGCCTCCATTTATTCGCAATGTGGTTCAAGAAAAACTCCGGTCTATTCGCAAATGGCTCGTCGAAAATGGCCTGATTGCTGCTGCTCCCAGCACTGGGTCAGAATCAAACGAAGTCAGGATTGCCCGAGAGTACGCCGAAGCAGCTGACGTGGATCTCAGAAACAAGATCAGGGATCTCGAGGCAGACCAGTCAGATCTTCAGAAGGACTATGGCCCATCTGACATTTTCCGCGCTATCAAGGGCAAGTGTGCTGAGATTGATTCCGGCGAATACACTTATGAAATCTGTTGGCTCGACAAGACAATGCAGAAATCCAAGAAGGGCCACGGATCCACCAACATGGGCAACTTTGATAGGATCGATATTGAAATGGCAGATGATGACGAGAGGGTGGATGGTAAGAGTCTTGGCAGTGGTCCTAGGATGGTAATGCGGTACAACAACGGCCAGACATGCTGGAACGGCCCTCAGAGACGAACCGACGTCTGGCTCGGATGCGCGGAGAAGGAAGAAGTCTGGAGAGTGACCGAGGCCGAGAAGTGCGTCTACAAGATGGAGGTAGGAACACCAGCCGCCTGTGAGTATGAAGAGGATGTGAAAAACTCTCACAACAAGGATGAACTATAAACGGGCAGTAGAGCGATAACGGCCGAGGTGCCATGTGATGGAGACAGATAATGCAGTTACGGCAGGTGGCGACTATTGCGGAAAATACGACATTAGAGGGGCGCGGATAAAGTCGAATGATAATTGGATTGACTATGATGCTGACGACGACGATGATGATAATGATGATTCTTGCCTTGATAGCTAAAAGAACTGGGGTTGAAGCTTTTTCTATATTCAGTATTTGCTAACAGATGTGTGAAAGTGGGAACGTGTGGTTCGCAGATAACGGCACTCATGTTCCCACAACCAACTTTTCGCGGCTGAAAACCCGATAACTAAATGCATACGGGCCAACACGCACCACGACAGCCCACTGTCTAGTTCCAACACGGAAATACATCTAAAATTGGATCCTATACAGATCGCATCTCCGATGCTACAGTACTACCAACGAATATAATAGCCGTAAGACAAACTGGCTCAGTCTCTGCCGAGTGGCGCCAGATGCTACTCCATTCTATCGCCAAAATCTCCCGATCACACACCAAGACAAGGGCAAGGACAAGGGCAAGGATGAGGCGGGATTCACAATGGGGTGGGGACGTGCGGAATTGTCTTTGAACAGCAGTCTGTCAAACAGCACCAGTGACGCCCAGGCACATGGAGACTGGCCCATGGCTGGGCTCGCGGCGCGAAGCTGAAGCTAGGAGTCGAAGAGCTCGGGCGGGGCCAACGTCTCGGCGTCGAGCGAGTCTAGTAACAGCCCGCGCTATTTGGAGAATTAGTGCATGGGAGCTTGTCTGAAAGTCCCCAAGTTTCCCAGGGCTGAGACTTCACCGCATTGAGCTTGACGCACCAATTCCGCAGTGCCGCGCAGAATCCAGCCTGATTGGGCCACATGTCGGATTTGGAGCCTGTCGCACGGGCGACTAGAACCTATCGGCTCTCTACGACGCGCGACTTCGGTGATTAATGGGTAAAATAAAGGGCATGGCCATGCCGAAGGACGAATGATGGCGAATGGCGAAACGGGCTTCGCTGACACCATCAGACCTTTTGTCCATTTGCTTGCTACGAACATTGAAGAGCCGGGACAGAATTGGTGGATCACGAAAGATATTAGTGCCCTAGATCCAGGATACCCACCCTTAATATCAAGGTGACAAATGATGATGCTAACAATGAAGAGAGGGGAGGCCAAGGAGCTTATGGGCAGTTTATAGTCTTGGTTTCTGCACTAATCGCACGTTCTATATATATATATATATATATATATACGAGATATATGCCAGTTTGTATATGTGGTTGATAAGACTGTAGTCTGTTGGTTTCCAAACTTTCTTTCGACATAAAGCCATATCCCCCCTTTCTTCGACCCTGCATCTTGATTCTCTGCATTACAACTCCATGGAATTTCAGCCCTCTTATATGGCAGCAATGAGTGAGTCTGATACAGCACGTTTGAAGCCGCAAGTGGAGCAGAATGCCGGCTCGGCCACTTACACGCCCTTCTTGCTACGACTTTACGATTTCTGGGTTCTTGGGGTATCAAATCACTTTGCTTGGCAATGCTCAACAACAAAAGTCCAACTTCCCCTCTTCAAAGCTACAATAGGAAAAAGGCATCTCGATGTTGGCGTCGGGACGGGATATTATCCAGCCAAATCCGTCGAAACCGAAACGCCATGCAAAGAGATCACACTCGTCGACCTAAATCCGAACACGCTAAATCAAGCTGCCGCTCGTATCAACGAAGCACAGAAAAACATAAAAGTAAACACCGTCGTTGCCAACATCTACGAGCCGTTGCCTCTGCCCACTGGCGAAAAGTTCGACTCTATCAGCACCTTTTACCTCCTCCACTGCCTCGCCGGCCCCCCTGAAAGCAAGACACAAGTATTCGACGTCTTAAAAAAATACGTTGCCGACGATGGCGTCTTCGTGGGCACCACCATCCTCGGCAAGGAGAGGCCGATGAACTTCTTCGCCGGGCGACTAATGAAACTCTACAACGAAAAGGGCATCTTTGACAACTGGCAAGACAGCAAGGCCGTGTTCGAGGAAGGCCTACGGCGGAACTTTGACGAGGTCGATATCCAGATCATTGGAAGGAGTATGGTCTGGACGGCCAGGAGGCCCAAGAAGGAAGCATGATGCGCCGGGCGAGCCCGGCATCACATGATGCTTCAGGGGGTGGGGGGTGATTGGATGACGAAGATATAAGAGGGTAGAAAGTGCGAAGCGGCGTCGGCACCTTTTTTTTTTCCACATTTGATTTGTGGACAAACATACGTAGTCTTCCGCACGGTGATACATGAAAGGTTTCTATTACTTTTTTTTTTTTTTCTTTGTTATTCTGTTGCCGTTCATAATGTTTTGTTTGCATCCAGATTATACCAGCATAGAAGAATAGCATGTAGCCTCTCTCTCTCTCTCTCTGACTTTTTTTTTAGTGTCGACATGAAGATAAACCCCCTTTTCTTATTTACTTATATACTTCTCTTTATGCTCAACATTCTACACCGTTCACACTCCCTACTCCTTTAGCCGCATTAAAGCTGAAATGTGCAGGGGCGGGGTCCCCATGCAGGATGACTCTCAGCTGCCAGAACGTCCCAGTTTCTTATGCTCATCAATCAAGGGCGTACAGAGTAAGATGGTGGTGACATTTATTGCTCCAGTTTTACTGCCAGTTTGGACTACTTGTTGTTATACAAGAAAAAAGTATCCCCAACCAACGCTTGTGATGAGATTTCTTCCTTCGCAAGGGTCCGTGAGTGGACTAACGGAGATACGCACTGCAAACGAGTTTTTTTTTTTTTTTTTTTTTTTTTTTTNATGATTTGGGATGTGCTTGATGCACTCTAGCCTCTAGCATACGAAAGTTTCATCATGAGTGTAATATGGGCGGCCAATTGCATTTTGCTTAGACGGTTAAACTTACACCTATTGATGCTTCTCTTACTATTTCGTATTTAGACAAACAATCATTTCGGATGGCGAAAATGCTTCCAATGTTGGTGATAAGTTAAACCACCCAAATCATCTGACCCACCAAGGCGCACACCTGCAGCGACATACTCAATTCCGATCGTTATGTTGCCCCACGATGAGCCTGTGTACGCAAATCTATTCACTAGAACAATAAGATAAACCACTATGGATGCTGAGAAGCCTTAGCTGCAAGATACATCGGCTTCCTGATTTACATGTTGGTGGCAGACGCCAGGCATAGACAGGGGGCAGTTCATAAACAAGTTCACTGTAACTAAGCTAACTCTACTTGTAGCAGCCTTGCTTCACATGTTTCACTTTCTTTCTAAAGATAGACCTAAAGATAGACCTACTCTCATTAACTGTCCTTTTCCCCAACACGTCTTCATCTCACTGTTGAGTGGCGCCACGAAACCTAGGATATTACACTTCCCCTTATACCGCGATGAATAAAGCTCTGTCTTTAAAGAAAGCCCCAGTATCCGGCGAAGCAGAAAACGGGTACCAGCGCTATTCGTAATGAGCTTTACCATAAAAGATTCTAGTTTAGTAAGACGTCTTTTTTATTATTATTATTATTATTTTCCCCTCTCTTCCTCTCTCAGTCGTAAGAAAAATAAGGTTATGCGGCCAACCTAGTAAAAAGGGGACGACAAAATCCTTACTTGAAGCATACATCAGATTATGGTGAGACGCCTGTCAAAGTTAATTTTGGAATAAGCCAATCGACGGACTTCTCATAGAGGCTTCGTATACTAAACAAGTTGCTCATATGGCGCAAACAGGAAGACCTATAAAAACCTCGGAGGATGTGTAAGGTACAGTGCATATTGTTGCTGACCATGGAAGTAAAAGTAACCGATCTCGTTTATATCATTTTCAATCATGTCCACCAAATAAAATAACATAACATAAAAATAATCAGGGATGCCAATTGAAATTCGCCACCACAAATAATCACTAGAGCTGTTATAGAATGAGCGGTAAGCTGCACAACACGAGTAGCAAATAGTAAGACTTGGCAAAAGACCGCAAGAGCAAAAATAATCATACGTTAAACTCGAAGTGTCCCCCACTAAGTAATACTACAATGTCATGTGTTATTGAATCGAAAAAAAGAAATAATATTTGCTCGCTCATCAAGATAATTACAATTATACCACTCAGGCCGGCACGCAAACAAACTGCCATAGCCAAAAACCCTGCCCTCCCTTCCAAACTCCCAAGGCCACGCCAGGAGAAGAGAGAGCGATGCATACATATACGTACACGTTTGCCGTAATCCCCCGCTGCCCAAAAATATCCGGATTCGAGTTCGTCCCTAAAAGATATGATGCTAAAGTGCTGCTAATAATTCTGTAGAATGCGCTCTCTCGCTATGCCTTGCCAGGTTCCCTTTTCCGCTTACCATGCCCCATCTCACCAAGCTTACCAGAAACTACACCATCCAATGTAGTGCTGACACAAATTCTCCAGCTTCGTAGCTTCAATAATGAGCTTATTCACTTGATTAATGACATCCAGCTCTTCGTTAGGCTTGAAATCCCGCCCCGTAAGCTTCTGAGAAACCCGATCGAGGACCTCAATTGCTCTGGCGTTCTGGCTCTCTCTCTCTTCGGTGCCATTGGCCTGGATACCATCTGGAAACGCTGAGCTATTGGTACGGGCCCTGTGCCTGGTGGGAGGTGCCGATGACTCAACATTTGCCATCAGCTCAGATGGAGCTACATCAGCGTCCAAAATAGATTGTCGCCGTGCTCGCATGGCATGAGGGCCTGCCAGCGCTGCTTCACGTTCAGACCGGAAAGGTCCGGCGGGGGAAGCGGCATTCGTCAGTCTCCAAGTAAGTAGCGGATCATGAATAAACTATCACGTAGAAAATTAGCTCTAAAGCTCTTGGTTAAGAGATCCTTTTTGTGTTTACAACTTACCGCTTCCAATACAGCCATTACGCTCTCCTTGTTATCTCGCAATACCCTCATTACATGCTCGCATGTAATTCTGAAGCTTCCTTCGATGTTGCTAACCTCCATGGCATATGTCAACATGCGGGTAAGTCGGAAAGGCACTCTCTCGGGGTATTTTTCACGCTTGGTGGCAACTTCAAAGCAGTCACCGAAATCGATATGAATAATCTTGCCCGTAACGCGATCCAACATAAGATTGGACGGGTGGCGATCTCCCAGACCCAAGATATAGCCTACCATAGACATCACGCCCAAGGATCGAGTATAATTCGTCCGCCGTTCTAACCAAGCTTCGGACGATTTAGATTTCAGCCAAAGGACACGGTAAAGGTCTTGGCCTGTTGTGTTATCAAGTGCATATCCAAACACTTCGACCTTTTGCATGAGTGTCAGGTTATCATAATCGGGCGCCATCTGAAGCATTATGCGGTGCTCTATGTTGAGAAGAATTTTGCGACTTTCACGATATTCCCTAATAAGAACATGCAATGTGTCACTATTCGGAACCCAGCCAAGCAGGCCAGAGTTCTGAGAAAGTGGGATGGCGGGGTATCGTTGAATATTAAGGTGTCGTTTATAACATTCGGAATCGTTGGCCAACAGGGTGTTGCACAAGCCAAATAGCTGCATCACACGCTCGTCTTGGCGAATATCTTCATGACCCTTGAGCAGGAAAGCGTATGAAATACCATCGCTGCCATTAACGTTGAGTTTTCTCGGCCTTTGCTTAGAGTTGATGACTGTGAAGGTGGAGTCAAAAGACATGATCCTAACGATGGGCTGTCCGCTCTTGTACGTTCCTGGAACGGCAAGATCAAGATTCTTGGCGTTCAGGAGCTTAGGCGAGCAGTATGTGAGTTCCAAACTTGTGACTTGTGGCAACTGCCTAGTTATACGGCGGAATACCTGGTAGTAAAGATCCCACGCTTGGTTGAGATCGTTTACGTCCCTGCTTGTCTCATATTGATGGCACCAGTCTTGAGCCTCCTTCAGATCTCGTCCGAAAGCCTGTGCAAATGATATCTCCCTCAAAGTCTCTGGTCCTCGCTCCAGTTGTTCGTGAAGCGGCTCCAATGCCGCAAACATGCCCTCGATGTTATGGTCGCCAAAGTATAACCGCGACGCCTCTTCCAGGCCTTCGTGCCAGAGCTCGTGCCAAAGTACAGCCACTCGGATCAGCTCATGACTGACTGTATCTGCTTGGGCAACTAGATTGGCGCTGTGCTGGCGCATGCTATCCATGATTTGCGCCGCGGACCTGGAGCGACGGCTATTCTGCCAAGACTTCATAGCAACTGTGAGTGGGTAGACCAGCGCCTGGGGATGCGCTCGGCCAACGTCGGCAAGGAGATTATGTACAGACTGCTGGACACGCTTGTTTGGCTGATTGATTCTAGCAATAAGTTGAGGGATTACCTCCAGCCAAGTGTCAATGCTGACATTAGCGAAGCCCTCGGTTACAGCCGTGTTTACATCTGAATTGCCTCCGTGCGTGAACCACAGCGTTAATAGACGCAGCGTGTCTTGAAGCGAGCTGCCTGCAGATAGCGCGATAGATTTGAAGAAACCCTGTATAGCTGGAACAACATGTTCAATGATCATCGTCTGATCTGCTCTTGACATCTGCCCTTCATTTCTGGCGGTCAAGGTCTGTACAATCTCAAAATTGGCGAGTGCCCACGCGTGCCAAGCCTTATACCAACGAGGATTATACTTGGTAGCTTGCGAATAAGAGGCCAAAATGTCCTGGATCTTGGTATTCTGCCAGTCATCTTTGTTGAGGGCAATCTGCCACTCTCCTTGTCGCAAGTAGCATTTCGCCAGCAGCACTGTCTGGTCGACCAAGGCGCGTTGCGTTTGCGGGCTCATCACGGACGGGTCAATCTGGTTCTGGAAGCCATATTCGAGAGACAGATTCACGTCACTTCCAGTTTGCGCGGTAAGATGAGCCTTTGCAAGGTCTAGGCGATGGGCCGAGTCATTGGTAAATCGCTGTAAGCAGTACAGAGTCCTCTCGGCAATGCCTGACGCCTTCATGGATGGCTGCTGGCCAAGTTCCCACTGGTACTTGAGCATGCCGTATATGACCTGAGCAGCTGGAGGGGTGCGTGGTGTTTGCCCTTGTTGCTGCTTCTCGATGACCTTGTCGTCATTCCAATATGGGATCAAGGCTTCAAGCGGCGCATCCGAGCCAATCAGTTGCTTTAGTGACTTCTCAGCCAGTCCCATGCGTCCCGATTTGCGACAGAGGTTGGCAAACTTGATCCACATGCGAATGTTTTCTGAAGGAGCAATCACCAAGGCACGCAGTCGCAGCATACGCTGCCAAACCTCGACATTGCGCTGGCATCCTTCCAGTCTCGTCTCCCAGGTCTTGCGCATGGTGGCTTGTTTCTTCTCGTCACACTGCTTGTACACAATCAACTCTT